TAGATGGGCAGAGATGTTGGTGTGGCCCACACGGCTTGTGGGTTTCCTCTGTATGCTCGACTGAACCGCAGAGACGGCAGCGTGGAGCACGGGCGCAGATACGCTGATTATGCCACTGAAAACATCTACCGCATTGAGCGATATTAACTTTCTTGAATAGTTTACGGCAGTTGATGCCCATCCCGAAAAGACGGAACCTTCTTGGGAGACGAGAGCCCGTGGTGAAGCGAGCGATAAATCTGGTGGATGGATCGTAGGGAGATGCAATACTTCCCTTAGTCTCGACTACAACAGTAGGATTAAACCCATTTTCTTCCTTAAGTTCCTTTAGAACGAGCTCTGGGGTGATTGGCTCTTTGACGAGCGGTTATTTTTTTCTAAAGTTGTGAATGTGCGAGGTACAGATGTGATTATGTAACTATCCAGGTTTTGAGCTTTTTCAATGCCCTGTACACCTGGAAACCTCCCTTCTCAAATTCCCTGGGCGAGAAGGTCTTATAATCTTGTTAAGGCCGCTTCTGAAGATAGACGGAGGGCTAGGCCAGATGGGACATGTTGCACTTCCTTCAGCATGGTAGAATTCTCTCCAAGGAAATTTCGGAGTTGAAGGAGGAGTGAGTACGTTGATATGAGGCGTTCTGACGCATTTTCATCAAGGCGTAGAAACAATCGATCATCCAAAGGCAGAGTGTCGGAATACTTCGGTGGTAATTGATATCACAAGCTTGATGTAGCAGTAACAATTATGGTACGTATGAAATGATCTATCTCCCCCCTGTCTTCCTTGAAGAAAAACATCTATAAACCGTAAAACCCCCGTCTCCTAACGCCATTCCCAAACGGGTACCTCATTACTCATCAACACAATTAGTCATTAGTTCTAAGGAAATACATATTGATCATTTGATCGTTAAGTCATTAAACACAGAGGTTTGGCCTGTTTTTGGAGATTGGAAGGTCTCGGTTTCTGAGGGGTGCTAACTCCAGCATTGCCCTTCGGTTTTCTTGCAACGTTCGCGTATGAGGGCTTCGCATGGGAAACTCGCTTCGGCTGGGTTGTCAGAAGGTGGGTAGTTGTTGCGGGAGTTGTTACACCTCGCACATGGTTTTCGAAAAATTCTTGTGCAACAGCTTGCATACGGGTCAAGAACTCGTTATATGTTTTCTGCAAATGGAGGGGGATTGTAGAGGCAGCTGTACCACATGTGACATTATCTAATGCTGCGGCGACGCTGCCAAACAAAAGAGTTGCCTCCTGCATTCTTGTGTTAGCAGCGGAAGTCGCTTGGTTCAGCGTTTCTGTCAGTGTCGTTGGTGTCCCTACTACTAACGGAGGAATAGGTGGAGGAGGGGGGTCAGGCATTGTTCGCGGTCGTAGATATAAGTATGAAATTGAAACTAAAGGGCGATTTGAAAGGAGTTGATGACTATTGCTCGGGTTAAATGTGGCTGCGGATGAATGGCGCAGTAGTGGATCACTCAGGTTGGTCTATTTATGTTACATTGAGACTGGACGCAGTAATGAAAGAACGCCTGCACTCTAAGACACTTGCACGTGATTCACAATTAGAACAAAATCCTCTAACATCAAGATTCTAAATATCTCGGGCCTCAACGACCTCATCTATCCATCTCTATCGAATCGCTCTAAAGGTATTCACATAATGTCCTCAACGTACTCATAACTACAATGCGATAGTAAACCTACCCACGAGGCGGAATTTAAGTGTGTGTGGATTTGTTGTGCTACTTGAGTCTATGACTGTGTAGCACATTGGGCTTCTCTATGACCCAGGCCACACCTTATACAGTGCTCCTTGCCTCTTATGTTACTTGAAAGTTCATTGATATATTGCCCGTGATTAATAGCCATTCAGCTCAGTGTTTACCCGGGGAATTTGGCCACCTTTTCCACGGAGCCTGCTACTCAATAAAAAATAAAATAAAAAGGTAGCAATGGAAACTGCGTGCGCGGGAAAAAGCCTCAAAAAACCTGCAGCCCCAGCCAGGCGAGACCTAGACACAGGGACCGTATGAGGTACGCATGTTCATCTATATCTCTCTTCTTTGTAATATTCGAGACCAAATTGATCCAATCCACCATCTCCGTATCGAGTGCTGGGTGCGCTCCAGAAATTAATTGGATGGGTTTTCCTCCGTGATCAAGGGTTGTTAATGAGAGGGATTTCGACCCTACCATCTGGTCTGATCGTGGTTAGCTTCACAATAATGGTGATTGGGGGATGTGTTGAGAGATGAATACGATACAGACGCTGAAAGCGATTAGTAATCCTTGTCGGAGTTTTAAGACGGCAAAGGCATGTCGTTATAACCAAAGGTTATTCCTGTTTTTCCTTTGATGGGTATTCAAGGCCAAGGGAATGGTGAAAGTTACTAGCACATAGTTCTCGATTGATATCAGCCAATTTACCTACTTCTAGAATGATCCAAATTCCAAGCTGAGGTATTCTCGTACATAGTCGTCGCAGAGTGTCTAGCCTTCTCCGTAGGATGTTCGATGAGTGCTAGGCTTGTGCCGGTCACGAATAAAAATTCTTTCGTCTTTTTTTTTTTTTTTGCATCAGATTTTAATTGCGTATGCAGCTATCTAGCTATTACAAAATATCAAAGAAAAGTATAGAAAAGATGACTCAATTTACAAGAGGAGCACTCATGCCTCGGATTTTATTTGCAAGTACCACTGCGAAGTTATGGTGGCTTTTTCTTCACCCCAAGTCAACCCTCATCCGTGAGTACTCACCCATGGGAACGTCTCAAAAACCCTGAGTTATCCACACGTGCTTCCATCATCCATCGCCTCTTCTCCACACGAAATGTGGTTTGAAGCGTCTCCTTCCCAAGTGGAGTAGGTGTCCAGGCTACTCAAACTATACCAGAGAGCATCACCAGGAGGCGGACCACGGCACCTGCCATCGTTTGCTTTTTTTTGTAGTGTCAGCTGCACTCTCGCAAGCGAAGTCGTGGCGCGCACAAAGCTCAATTCGTAAAACCCTTTCCAAATTTCAATTTTTTAAGCCCGTCGAAAACGTATCCCTCTTTTGCATCATCTTGTAAACTTGTCCTGATCCCTCTCACGTCCGTCCCAAAGAACTATATCCCAGATTTGTACACCACGCTTTGCTTCCTCCGTCGGTTATAAATATCGGCGTGGGCGTGTATTTGGTGACCGGCTGAGGCCAGAGAAAGTCGACGAGAGGTGTGGTCATTGAAACGAGGATGTACTAGGTCGTACTTGTAGACTTGATGAAACTTAGCTGAGAATCGGACTCTGGGAGTGAAAAATTGACGTGGTGGAGTAATTTGAATTTTTGCCTCGTGGGCCAACTTCTTTGATATTGCGAAATTTGACTGAACTTGGCTCTGGGAGAATATTTCACTCCCAGGTTCGTAGAGGACACCGCGTACAGGTGTTCAGTCTCGCCCTCCAATTCTTTCGTCTATGCTCTATTAGATAGTTGTGTTAAGATTAACTCCTGTCATGGGGACAGCGTATGGCGCAAGTCAAGGCAGGTTCGTGTAAATTGATGTCATGATGGATGACATCGGTAGATACTGGCAAGGCCTAGTGCATTGGATCCATTCAAATTTTTTCCTAATTTGTAGAGAATGAATTACCTAGGTTGTATCAAGTCTCGGAATCAACTACATATGTCATGTCTGTCGAATTCAAACCGTTGGCCTGACACGGCAAAATTATTGAATCAAAGCAAAAGAAAAGCAGATACTGCCAATTTGTCAGCCAGTTAAACAAGTAAATCAAAGCAGTACTGAACTTGAGCGGCTCGAGTGTAATAGATAATGGAGATATCATTTCGCAAGTAAAGTCGTATTAGTGTCGTCGCGAATTATGGGTATGTTGGAGTATGCTCTTTCATCAATAAGCATAATACAACCGGTGCACAATCTTCGAAGAGTCTATCCACCCTCTGAAAATCACGTAAGAATTCTTGCACACTAGGGGATAGTTCCTAGCCATTATCAGGATGCCTTGCGCTTTTGTTTCAAATGTCAGGTTATTGAGTAGATATGACTAGTAAAGACGTTGACTCGCTCACGCAGGGAAATCGAGAATAACCACCAAGTTAAGCCAAGTCAATCATATCGATGCAGAGAACTCAATGCGTTTCAATCTATTTTTACAATCGTCAAACTATACGGAAGTGATTGTGGGAGATACGTTTTTCTCGAAGAACCAAAGTATTCCAGTTGCCACAGCTATGTTACTGCCACACGACAGAGATAACCGGAGTTATGTTGGGATATAAGCCTTCAGGATTAACGCTATGAGAATTTTACATGAAAATCTACAATATACTGGTCTGTTAAAAACGTAATATCGGCTGCAAGCCAGAAGAAAACCGAGACGTCTGCCACTTGGACGTGGAAGACTAGACCAGCTCTTATGATGAGCTACCCAGTCAAACACTTATCTTGACGGCTAGACTCAAACAGATCCACGTGATACCCCAGTCCATATAGTCTACAACAACCATACTCGTTGAGGCTGTAATTATCCTTTACTCATTACTTCACGACAGAGGAAGATGATTCCCTGCGTAAAATGAGACGGACCATTAATTGAGTGCAGCAAAACTCAGATACGGTGTGGAATTGAAGAATAGACACAGATGAAACTTCATGACCCTAGACTGCTTCGCCCCGTCAAGACCTGAACCACCAGCTGATATTTTTGGCTCGAAATTAATGTCTGGCAACTCAGGTTTAGGGCCTATAATGACAGTTGATCAAGCGAAGACTATGTTTGAGGGCTCCGGTTTTGCTCTTATACCGAGTGGGCTGCTGCTTTTCTTTCAGAATAAATTGAGCATTCTTAGGCTCACCCGACTTTTAAGCATCGCCGAAGCTTTATTGTTCGTTCATTCATTTACTTGCAAAAATTACCTTTCCCGTACTAGGGCTATTTAACTTAGCCTTCTGGCCAACTCTCTTTCTAAATTTTAAACAACTTCAAATTTACTATGCATTTTATCTTTTTTATTGCGTTTGCCTTTATCGGGGTTGCTGTAGGTGCCGAGACAACCACCACGAAAGCTGTCACAGTAACTAGCTGTCCTCCGACTGTCAGGTGAGAAAATATACCAAAAGACTCAAGAAAATCCGAGTGAAAGTGGACCAAGACTGACAGGTGCTGTGAAGTGCATGTCCAGGAAAGGGACCTCTAAACTCAACTGAACCTGTATTCCGGCCTGTTGGTCCGACTGGGTTAAGTCCTTCTCCCACAGCAAAATTGCCAGATCCCAAGGGCAACCCCAACGCAAAGCCGACCGATGGAGTTATTTTGAGCACAATGATTATCTCCACTTGTATTCCGACCGTAATAACCTCAGTGGTGACTATAACCCCTCCAAAAGTAACAGAGAAGCCTATTATATCGGCCAAGCCATCTTCACCAGGGTTGTGAGTAATCACCGTTTGATGTAATTTTGATACCGGCTAATCTTTGCTTTTAGCATTACCAAACCTCCCCAACCCCAATTTACCGGTGCTGCAAACGCACTAAAGGGACCAACAGTCTTAGCTGGATTAGCTGGTCTCCTTGTCTTTGCGTTGTGAAGGGGCCGAGCTCGGAGCTGTTTATTGCCTTGGGCCAAAGAGCACTGGCCCTTCTTAGATTACAGGCAATTAACATGGATATATATGGAGCTCTGAGGCGTCTAGTGGGTCATTTATGGACGGATGAAAGCGGGAGTCAGTCGTTTGATCTAACCGTGAATTTGGCAACGTTTCTGAACTTTTGTACTTCTGTATATACACCAATAACCTATGCCAACTACACTTCGAGATGCATCGCTGAAAATGAGGCTGTGTAATACTATAGAACGCTGTACATGCGAAGCACTCTGTACACACCCCCTAGCACCATTACCATGGAGCTAAATGCCATCAATTCCGATGGTAGGGTTGAAGCCTTTCTCATCCTCCACTTACTTGTCTTTGTCGTCGAACAGCCCTCCAATTATTTACCAAGGTATCGCCAGCGTCTTGCACGGCGAAAGTGGGGGAGTTCAAATTGGTCTCCCAAGCTACAAAGAAGGGGGGGATTTATTTATTTTATTTATCGTGCTAGGCTTACACCCTCCATCCAATGAACGTGACACGCATGGAGGACATCTATGATACAAGTTCTTCCATTCTCCAGCAAAGCCCATTGTTGTGATTGATGACATAACTACCACTGCATCTGGTTATTGTGGATCACAGAGATGTAGAATCTAGTGGTTAAAGCAGAACAGACCAGAGTCAGATAGAATAGAACAGGATAGAATAGAATGTGATGACTCAGAGCTGAATGGAACTGAGTGACTGGAGATATGGAAAGCAATAGAATATGGTATATTTATATGAAAGTAGTGATTCTCCAAATTTGAACGAAAGCAAGCAAGTCTACTAATTCATTACAATCTTCCTCTACCTTCAAGTCTCAGTGAGCGTGCAGTTATTTACAGGTAACTATTCCTCCTCCCATAACCTTGCATTCATAACACCCATCCGGTGCCTGACTTTTCCAAATACGTGCCTCACGCTAGTTACATCGGGTCGAATAGGTAGGAACGCATTCACCATGATCCTAAGGCCATATATTGAGGGAAAACCTTCGTGGGAAAACCTCGACAATTCCTCCTGTACTCTTTCACGACGAGCTGCCGTAGTCCCCCCTTAAACAGGCCGTGTAGGAGTCCAACCTACCACTTCTAGAAAGCACATCCAGCACCCATCCAACTGTGCCAACAGCCTGTTGAAAATCACATATCGTTCTTCCCAAATTCTCCCCTGCATTGCGGTCAACCTCCATTTGAGAGGGCTGAAATCCCGAAACCGAGAGCTCAAAACCGAGGCATCGGTGCCCCAGCTTTTGTCGTACATTGTTCGTTGTCTAAGTGAGGCTTCTTCGTTCGCGCCGTCTTTGGAATATGTCGAAAAGTTGAGAATGTTGATGTCGCGGTCGAGGTGCTCGTCTAAAATGAGGCCGAGTAATTGCCCAGACCTGCACACAATGTTAGTAAGTGTTGAAATTATGGAGTACAGAGATAAGTTAGGTGATGGTTAATGGAAGTAATTGATGGAGGGTCTGGTTGTTGAGTTTTCTGTTATTTCTGTGTTGGGATACACTTTGTCGATCCTACTAGGCTCGATGATTAGAAGTCCCGACCGACTGGTGTTTGGCGAATGGAGATTGCGTATACCCTGTGCTAACGTTGTTTAGTGCTGTTAATAGGAGATCCCGCACGGGCTATCCAGTGTGGTTGAAAGGAGTCTGGTACCTGTGTTCAGTAGAGTAGTCGAATTGATATCCTTTTATCCTTCATTATTGCATAAGCTTCCTTTTACCAATAAAGTCCACGAACTAAGTAGTGGGTTATACATTTCATTAGTAAGATTGAAAGCGAAAAGAATTTTACCTTTGATTTTGGAGGGTTGTTGGTGAGTCGTAAAGTCCTCCCAGTCAAACTCATTCGGGGAGTTGTAAGAAGACTGAATAGAAAAGACCCAAACTTTAACTTTTGATCTATAGTGCCGGGAACGGAACTTAGCCCATATGTCAATCGAAATTGACTGGGCCACGCTCAGCAAGCTGCCGTTGCGAAGGATGCGATTCTTCCTGGCTATCTCAGATATGCAGAGCATACTGAACGATTACACCGGCACCATTGGAAGGTGAAGAATTCGACTTTGCCGGCCAAAGAGGGGGGAAAGAGGGAGGTGTGTTTATTATACTTCTTGAGTCTTAGACTTTCTAGAACATTGGGCTCCTCTCTGACCCAGGCCACATCTTACACAATGCTCCTTGCCTCTTAAGTTTCATGAAAAATCGTGGTTGTGTTGCCCGTGATGAATAGCCATTTAGCTCAGTGTTTACCCGTGGAATTCGGCCACCTTTTCCACAGAACCTGCTACCCAATAAAAAATAAAATAAAAAGGTAGCAATGGAAACTGCGTGCGCGGGAAAAAGCCTCAAAACCCTGCAGCCCCAGCCAGCCAGGCAAGGCCTAGATGCCAGGACCACATGAGGCGCGCATATTCATCTACATGTCCCTTCTTTGTAACAGTTGAGGTCGACTTGATCCAATCCACCATCTCCGTATCGGGTGCTGGGTACACTCTGGAAACTTATCGGATGGATTTTCCTCCATGGTCAAAGGCTGGTGATGAGGAGGGCTTTGACCCTACCATCTGATCTGATCGTGGTTAGCTTCATGATAATGGTGATAGGGAGATGTACTTAGGGATGAAGACGATACAGACGGCGTAAGCGATTGAGAATCCTCATCAAAGTGAGGACCTTGTTACTCAATCTCGGCCCTGCAGGCTTTACAGTGAGAGCAAGAGGCTAGTAGAGGATACCACTGACAGGTGTTGAGAATAGCCCCCATAGAGGATTCGTGTGAGAATGGTAGGTCCGACATTGACGAGAAGTCGTCCATTTTGGATATGCTTGAGGTTATTATTATTATATTTTATTCTCCTATCTGAGTCTATGACTATGTAGGACATACAGGTCCTCTCTGCCTACAGGCTAAGGTTACCTATGCCTCCCTTACAGCTCCCCTCCAACAGTACAGCCCCTCATAAGCCCTCATTAGATTATATACTTAGGGGAGCCCTTTGCCTTTCATTATCTCTCCTCTCCAATCAACGAGACGATGGTCATTTGCGGGTGTATGGCAGCCCGGAACAAATCGCAAAAAGCACTGGGTGCGAAGCTCTTCATATGCCGACATCAGGACAAGATCCAAAGACATAGTGAACCTTCCGAAGCGTTCAAAGAGGCTGGCTAGCTGGGTGCTGCGGACTTGTTGGTAATTCGGAAAATTCACTCTCTGCCACTCTAGCCTCCTTCCCGAAGCTCGTGCTGAAATTTCAGAAAAATCTTGACAGAGCATGATTGCTGTATAATAGCTTAGCCCAACTAAGTGTTACTGTCTGAAATAGTGAGTATTGCTATAGACTTGTAAATCAACGAAGGATTTTTGGATAGTGTTGGGCTAAATCATGGCCCGATAGATTCCATTTTGAGGGTTTCATGTTCGTGGGTGCAAGGTTGACGCCCGTTGAGATGTGATCACTCTTTTCCAGAAAAGACATAATGTTACTTTTAACCAATATTAAATACCCAAATTTTGGGAATTATTATCATTTCTCATGTCATCATGTTAGGAGAGGAACTCGTAGCTGGTCATCTTCAGTTTTTGAGGTAGAGGCTTGTTGCGGCTCACTTGCAACTAATCCCGAAGGTCGTTCTAGCCCGAAGAACATAAGCCAAACCACGTGAACCATACGCTGTTCAAGGTGGTAAAAATATACAGCTCAACGCCTGCGCTCATAAGAATCCCTGGCCCAAATACTCCGCTCAACTCGCCTTTCCCAATTTTTTTCCTTTACTGAGACATCCCTTTCATCCTTCCGCCATCTACAATGACTTGTTCATCAACTTTGCCATTGGCCTCAACCCCTCCTTCAACTCGTTTCCAGGTTGTGATCCGTGCCTCATTCACATCTACCTCGTAAAAACGGATACGACGTTGGTATCCACCATATCCGCCATAGCCTCCGAAACCTGCACCACCAGCATAGCACATCCAAAGCGCTGGATTCAATTGCTCATTACTACTTAGTGCGCAGTATTCATTTGCATGATCGTGGCCACATCCAAGTAATAGTACACCTTGCTCCACCAGCGCGTCACGAAATCCAGAGTTGAATACTGGCGCAGTGACAGATTCACGCCATTCACCTTGACGCGGAAGAGACTTATCTCGAAATTCAGGTATCGGAATGTGGATAAAAGCTAGATCCATATGAATATGACTGTAACCTTCATGACTCCTCTTTAATTCTGTAGATGTAGCTTTGAACCAGTCGATCTGGTTCTTCTTTAGCCAATCATATCCCTTGAAATTCCGTTCGTCTGGAGAGTATGCATGTGAGTCTAAGAGGTAAATGGTGATAGCCGAATGTTTTGATCCATGAGCATGAACTTCGACGTAGTAGTTACCGACTCCATCAATCGTTGTCGGACCTGCGGATGCAAGCGAGTATGGAAGAGATTCGATTATATCCATTTGAATATTGCGAGAAAGTGAACCTTCGTCGTCGTGATTCCCGAATATAGAGGCAAAAGGGATTTTCCGTTCGACAAGAATATAGGCGTATTTAAAAATTGCCTAGGCAGTCAGCTTTATTTATCAAGCAATCTAATGAAAAGCTATACACTTTGGGTATCAGGAGCAGTCTCCCCATTGACTTGGTCACCACTCAGTATGACCAGATCCGGCTTTTCGGTATCTAGTAACTTCTCCATAAACTCGATGGTTCTCGGGTCTGCCTCACAATTTTGGGCTGTCTCTGGAGGTTGCGGGTCTCTACATTTTCCAGTACCGGTGCTAAGATGCAAGTCTGCAGCTTGCATGATCTTGAATTTACCATGTTCATTAATTTTTGGGATTGGCTTAGGTACCTCAGTCTCTTTCCCCTTCCTGACGCTCAATCTAGCCTCAAACTTTTCACCTTTTGTATTGAGAAGCATAGCCGTACCAACTAAATGCCAGCCAATTCTAGGATCAACAGCGTCTGCACCAAAGAGAACTTCAACAGCTGTTACCGCCTGATTCGAATCGCTCGCATGACGTTTTGCTGAGCGTTTGAGCCATAGACCCATAGGTCTTGATTCCCATATTGCATCTTCTTCAACTTGAACACCAGCGTTTGGGTTTAATCGTCCGACAGTAACATCAAAAACAACTCTATCCTCAGGCAATAAATCTTCTTCTTTTTTGCGCTCAATGTAAACATATGCACTTCTAATCCAGCCAGAGCCTAGATATAAATCTTTTTCGACCCGATGCCAACGCTTAGGATGCAGGTTACATGATGTGAGAAGGTAGATGCCAGAACAATAAGAGACTGTTATATCTGTGATGACCAGACCAGGATAATGTGTTAAAAGGTGCTTGTGAATAGAGGTAGGTAGGACTCGAAACCGCGAATCAAGGAAGTATACGAAGATAAAGACAAGGGTTGCGATAGCTGCTAGTTGGCACACTGTGCGAACCTGTTCTAGTAAGTGATGTTCAGAGGGCAGACAGGATTACATGCAATTCTTCTCGTCATTCTATATGCGCTCGTGAGCTTTGAAGTAGACTGTCATTAAGCAACTACTATATACAGCTCCCGATTGTGATATGTCCATTCAAGAGGGCGGATAGACTGTAACCAATCGGTAGAAAAACACGAAAGACTGTATGGATGTCGTATCTTTCTAGTGTAAGCTTCTTTATTGTTTCTTATCACGATTATTAAAGAGATATTGGTGTAGGCCGAGTTACAGAGAGTTGTTGAAAGATTAAGGTGACAGAACTAACTTCCACATGAGTATCCTACTTCACGTGACGATACCTCGGGCTCATCGTGAGTCCTATTCACATGTGATGACTCAGTAACCTTCATACCTTGTCAGCAACAAAATTCCTTTAATTACTTCAATATTTCCTCCCATGATCCTGCAAGTCAAGAAATTGCGGTCGGGTAGTAGCTCCCACAGAGTGTTGAGTATTTAGGAATGCTCCTTGATGTTAATCTGGCTCAAGGTACTATCTTATTTGTGGACCGACATTAGAATGAGTCAAACATGCTAGCATAAGTGAAGAAATAGTTGGTTCCTCTACTGGACTGGATAAATTAAAAGAATAAATGACCGGCACATGTGGGCCTAATTAGACGGCCTATTTTTAATACCTGTTTGTCTATTCTCAGCCTGATTATATACGACATGTAGGTCTGCTGCCTACAGGCCAAGGATACCTACGTTAATCATGTACCCCTCCCTATTATTCCCATACAGCTCCTCTCAAATAGTACCGCCCCTCACAAGTCCACATTCGGTTATACACTTAGAGGAGCCCTTAGCTCTTCATAATATCCACTATCTAGCCGACAAAACGATGGATATTTGCGGGTGTATGGCAGCCGGGAAAAACTGCAAAAACTGTCGGGAGGTGGATTCTCACAATTCCGGCATCAGGACTAAATCTGGAGACATTGCTACCCGTCTGGGGCCTTAACAGAGGCTGGATGGCCGAGTTTTGCAGATTCGTATTTACCTGAGAAAGTCATACTCTGCCTTACTAGCCTCCGTTCAGCTCTTTTTATGTGCGATAACGAAATGATAAAAAATTATAAATAAAAATTATTTGCTTTAAAATAGCTTAGCCCAACCTCATTGTGCCTTCTACGGACCTGAGAAGTGCTGGACGCTCTGTGACAACATAATTTATCCAGCCAAAAATCCGAAACAGCGTCCTTGGCGCTAACAGACATCTCAAAGTCAAATGTCTTTCAATAAAGGCCAGTCCCAGAATGTCCAAAAATAGCCTCCCATCTGCTCATCCTCAAAAAGTCTTATACTCAAATTAGAGAAACGGATCTCTTTAAGCCAAAGCAAGAGAATTATAACTCATGCCTTGCTCTAACTTCAGCGAATATCCGCAACATCTTAGTATGATGGTACGGGACATGCGGATATTGATGAGGTAAACCCCCGTTTGCAGTTGAAATAAATCCTGTATCTGTCGATGAGGCGAGATGGTATATGTTAAGATTGAGTTGGAAGACTCGCATGAGAATTATAGGCACGATATTGATGAGAAATCATCGATTGTGAGTATGCTCATGTGTGTGTGTTTTTATTGTACTACTTGAGTTTATAACTATCTAGCACATTGGGCTCCTCTCTGACCCAGGCCACATCTTACACAATGCTCCTTGCCTCTTAAGTTTCATGAAAAATCGTGGTTGTGTTGCCCGTGATGAATAGCCATTTAGCTCAGTGTTAACCCGTGGAATTCGGCCACCTTTTCCACAGAACCTGCTACCCAATAAAAAATAAAATAAAAAGGTAGCAATGGAAACTGCGTGCGCGGGAAAAAGCCTCAAAACCCTGCAGCCCCAGCCAGCCAGGCAAGGCCTAGATGCCAGGACCACATGAGGCGCGCATATTCATCTACATCTCCCTTCTTTGTAACAGTTGAGGTCGACTTGATCCAATCCACCATCTCCGTATCGGGTGCTGGGTACACTCTAGAAACTTATCGGATGGATTTTCCTCCATGGTCAAAGGCTGGTGATGAGGAGGGCTTTGACCCTACCATCTGATCTGATCGTGGTTAGCTTCATGATAATGGTGATAGGGAGATGTACTTAGGGATGAAGACGATACAGACGGCGTAAGCGATTGAGAATCCTCATCAAAGTGAGGACCTTGTTACTCAATCTCGGCCCTGCAGATTCTACAGGGAGAGCTGAAGAATAGTCCCCCGAGAGTATGCTCATGTTTACTTTCGACATCGATTCGGATACAATTTTTCTCTACTGTTCCAGATATGCAGAGAATACTGAGCGACTATACTGGAATAGATGAATCGTGAAGAATCTGTATCTACCGGCAACCAGTCGGTCCATTTGGTCTACAAGACACAAACTTGTCATATCAGCGATGTGAGTGGGGGAAAGACAAATGTGATTGAAGGATTATATTAGATTATCTTATTAAAATTTCTGACTAAACCTGCGACTGAGCTGGGCTTGTAGAATCTACACGAAAGAGAAAAGTTTTTCATTATAGTTAGTGAGAGTTGAGTTGATAATTTGGCACTAAGGATAATTTCACTTCATGAGTAGTATCCATCCAGTGATGCTTTGGATCCTTTGATTCAATAGGTTATCAACTAGAAAACCTACCAGGCCAATCAGCGGACAATATACCCAGCCTCAATGAGTATGGCCTACTTTACGCCATATGCCAACAAAACCGCCGTTGGTGACCCTTACGCCGACTCTTGGTCGACATACTATTTCCCATCCATTCTCACTATTTTCTGATTGACTAACCTGAATAGATTTTTCTGTTTCTTCGGGGTCTGAGCTTACGGTAGATTCAGTTAGGTCTTCTATTTCAACCGAATCTGGAACCTGCTTTACACAATGGCCTACTAAATCTTCGGAACTTGATGGTCTGAGAATATCTGGTTCTGCGCTCGATATCGCCAGTCTAAAAGATGCCTTGGGTTGCACTGGCCTCACATCCCATTCTCGGCCTCCGGTTCCGACCATTCCCCCAATTTCCAATACATTTTCTAGAACCAAGGAAAATCCCTTTTTTGCAGATAAAGAGATTTTGGTTATTTGAGTGATGCTTGGCACAAAGACGAGTAAAAGTCCGTTTTCCTTCAGAGCCCTGGATACTATTTCCATATGTACTTCAGGAGATGGTAAATCAAGTATAGCATGTTGAAGAAATGGTATACTTTGACTAAGCGTAAGTCTCTCGTTCATAATATCTACTATCGAGCCAACATGAAAATCGATATTTGGGAAGTACATTCCATTTCTGAAATTTTTTATATTCGCAGCTGCATGACGAGAACGTTTCTCGTCTATATCAAGGCTGTGTATTATTGCTCGTCGCTGTGAGCGCCATTTTTCATATGCTTCATTCACGGGTTCTTGAGCAGTGTTGGCTGAGATGCCAGCAGGTATTTCTGGCGGTGCACTATTGGCGGCGTGAACAGCCCTGGCAAGACAAAGAGTTAAAGCACCGTGGCCTGTTCCAGCCTCGAAGATTTCTAACCTTTTGCTGGGGACACCTGGGACAGTAGGATGCAGATCTAGTAGAGAGACTATTAGATTGGCGTCTTGAGAATAAATCTACCTCAAAGCGGTCAGCTAAAATAAGCCGAGGCAATTCGGCTGCTTCGTACTGGAGTAACGAGTCGAGGAGAGTTGTCTGTGTATTCGCCTAATGTTGGTCGAAATATGGTATATTGATTGCCATTCCGAGCTCGAACAACCTGGCGAATATGTTTACCTATGAGAGATTCGTGGCGGATGAGGTTTTTCAACTTTTTATAACTTACGGTGTTCCCGGGTTGTAGTGGTCGTGTAAGGATAATTTCGGCGGTAGCATTTGCAGTGGACTTTAGTGCGACAATGTCGTTCTCTATATCCCGACAGGTTTGATTAGTGACTAGTTTATAGAAAAATTGAGAATGCTACTACCCTGGACTACATCTCTTGAATAAAATCGACGACAGGAAATAGGACGCAACGGTCCATGAAAAGATCTAAGACGCCAAACAAATCGGGTTCGGGTCGTCGAGGATCCCATCTCGCGATGATGGTCATAATATTGTTGATGCGAAATAGGAGATCAACACAAGGGAAGAGCTTGGACCTGGTCCTGCAACCGCTAACCAGGGCACTTGCGGGAGACTCAGCTTCTATAAGCTGAGGTCATGTTGTTCCAATTCTCCTTATTCCCAACACATCAACCAAAAGCCCAAATACTCCTTAATACATTACGATGTACCATGAAGTTGAAGGAACACACCAGATCGGAGGTGTTACTCTCTTCACTAAGTCATGGAAGGTCTGTTACTTACCTTGTCTTCTAGCCATCCGAGTTTAACCCCTCCAGCCCTCAGATCCGCCCGTGGCAAAGCTTATATTTATACACGGCTTCAACGACCACATGGATCGCTATTATGAGCTCTTCCCAACGCTTGCATCTCGAGGAATCCAGGTAGATGGATTTGATCAACGTGGCTGGGGTCGCTCAGTTCGTAAGGAATCTGACAAAGGTTTGACGGGTCCTACCGAAACGGTTATTGCCGATATTGTGAGCTTTATCTCAGCTAAACTACCATCTTCAATCCCAATATTTGTTATGGGTCACTCAATGGGTGGCGGTGAGGCGCTAACCCTAGCCTCAAATCCTAAACATGCCGACCTTGTTGGTCAGATTCGAGGTTGGATTCTGGAGAGCCCATTTATTGCGTTTCCAAAGGGACACGAGCCCAGTGCAATAACGGTATTTTTCGGACGTCTAGCGCGACCGATCTTACCAAGAAAGCAGCTACAATCGGCCCTACCAGCCGAAAACCTGACCCGCGATCCAGAAGTTGTGCGTAGCTTAAAAACAGACGCTCTTCTACATGGCTTAGGGACATTAGAGGGATTATCAGGCTTGATAGATCGGACCAACAACCTATCTAGCGGAAAGTTGAAACTAAATAAGACTGTCAAGGGAATCTGGCTAGGACACGGAACGGTAGATAAAGCAACTTGTTATGAAGGTAGTAAAAATTGGTTCAACAGTCAATGTCAAGACATTAATGACAAAGAGTTTAAAACTTATGACGGATGGTACCACCAGCTTCACGCAGATCTTCCTGATGATAGACCAGTTTTTGCGAAGGATGTGGGAGACTGGATTTTAAAGCGGGTTGGGAGGGAAGTAAAGCTGTAAGACGAACATTATGTGACGAAAAATAGAATATAAATTTCTCTCTTAGAATGGATCATCGACGGTGGAGTATTGAGTTTCTCTAAATTCACCAGAAACCTCAAAATGAATATTAATAAGACTAGGTTTGTGTTTCTTATTACGATGAGTATCGGGAGTTATGAGGCTCAATTGAAAGAGATGGAAAATGAAGAGCAATAATGAGCTTTAGATACGGAATTTCTCATTTTTCTGCTGTAGTTTTACTTTCTCTCTTTTGTAGTATCTCGTCCACAATTCCCATTTCCAGAGCCTCATCCGCTGTCAAAAACTTATCCCTATCCATCAGACTTTCAATTTCTTTGTAACTGTGTTCCTTGGTCAGGTGTGTCTTGAAGATCTCGTTGAGCCTCTGTCGCACACGTAAAATCTCTTGAGCATGAATTGAAATGTCTGAAGCCTGTCCAAAATAGCCTCCGCTTGGTTGATGTATCATCACACTTCCATTCGGTAGACAGAAACGTTTCCCCCTTTCCCCACCGGCAAGCAGAAGACTACCCATTGATGCTGCTTGTCCCACACAGATCGTCGAAACCGGCGATTGGATATAGTTCATAGTGTCATATATGGCGAGACCAGCTGTCACTGATCCTCCAGGAGAATTAATGTAGAGGTTTATTGTCTTGTTAAAAGACTCGGATTCAAGGTAGAGGAGCTGAGCAACGATTGCGGCCGAAAGAGCGTTATCTATTTCACCGTTAAGGCAAACTATACGCTCAGTGAGAAGCTTAGAAAAAATATCTGAGGTGCGCCAGCCGCCACTAGTGGTTTCTGTGATCATTGGTATGGGAGTCCATGATCGTGGGGCGCGTGCTGGTGCGATGGAGCTAAGTGAGCGATAGGATATAAACGAAGGTAAGTGCCGGAGGGAGCGGTTGAGAGGTGTAATCGAAAGCATTGTAGAATCGTATCTTGGAAAAGAGTGACCTGGGTAATTAGATCAGCATGTCGGTTATTACGTCTATCAGCCTAGCGCGCAGGTCATTGTCCAGCCGACACTTCCCACATGAAGTATATTGCTGAGCCGACTTCTGAGGCATTGGATAAGAATACGAAATGAAGATACTCAGTAAATGGAATATAAGATATCGGCTACGGCCACATGTTATGCTGCGTAAGCCATGTACTCCATCTCAAACACACCTGCTAGGGCTGCGCTTGTCTTGCGTCAGTGAATCCACTAGCTCCAGAGGTTCAGTAGAAGCATCCCTAAGATTAACTACTATCACCTCGAGCATAGTCAATAATAAAGCAGAGTTAAATTCCGATGGAATCTCCTGTCAGCTAAATCAATATTCGCATGTCCCTCAATGTACGAACGATGCTCCTTTCGATGTAAAGAACCTCCAATCGATAACTGCCGGTGATATTAGTCTAAGGAAGAAAGAACTGAGCACATTTGATCAGAAGCCGATAATATTGAGCTCTGTATTTGGTAATACCGAGGCAAAAATGTCTCCAACGTCTTCAGCATCAGATAGCTCCAAACAACAATCTTGGCAAGCCGAAGGACTGGAACAGGCCGACGGTAAACTCTTACATAGCGTCGATCATTCGAATATGAAGCTATCGAACCCTCATGCCATAGGTAGCAGCAAGAACAAAAGATTTCTCCCGATATCTCCACTAATGGACCCATCTTTCAGACAGGCACGTGAGAAGTATCGCTGTCCAAAGCAGAAATCTCCCCAAAGCCTCACACCTATGCAGCTGGCTGTCCGTAAAAATATATATGCCCGGGCATTGAGTACGCCACTGCGTAAATGTAAACTGACCGGTATCTCATTACCTAGCTTCTTCCTGCTAAGGTTTCACGCCATTGCGGATCCAAAGACGGGAGTACCATGGTATCTACCCAGAGGCCTATCTACGCATTATCAGTCTTCACAAAAGGCTGATAAAATTTCTGAAACTCCAACTTCTAATATTTCAACGTCTTGCCAAATCGTGGAAGAGAATGGGAAAGTACCGATATATGTTAACAAATTGACATTAGATCTTCGCTCAAAGCACGACCTTCATATTGGCGACAAAGCGATCTTCTCGAAAGATAACTTGAAACCAGATCATTCAAAATCACAAGATTTACTATCACCTTTAACACCTACAATTGGCATTGGAACATACTTTGTCAGCTCATATAATGCTCTACAATCTCTAGCAGCTAGCAACCAAAAAAACTCGAATAGTTTAGTACCCGCATTTATCTCACAATCTATGCGAAATCATCCACTTGTGTTAAAAACCTCACGGACTACACGATTTCGACCAGACATGGCAGATTTTGTCCTTAACTTGAAACGACGGCGTGTTTTTGAAGAATTGTTGCAGGTCACTTCAAAAACTCGAGGTTATATTTCTAAATTTATTCCTTCTAAATCCTTAAAGACTCGGCAGGTTGCCGCAGTGCTATTACTCGGGTCATCAGCTCTCCACACTACCAGTGAAATAGTTACTGAGCAGGATTTTAACTCATATGTTGGCGAGAATTCAGGCCATATACCAATCTTTGATCTGCGCATCTTGCTTGGTCAACTGATGCTGCAGGATTTAAGGGATTCGGACAAGACACGTTGGAACTGTGAAGTGCTAACAGTCAAGAGCCGGAATTATACGCTGAATCTCATGATGAAATTATGGGAATTAGAAGGTTTTTTAACACCACCATCAAAGACTCGTTAGCTCTTTGTCTGTCGAGATTAACCACAATTCTAAATATTTTCGTTGTTAGAAAGAACATGAATTTTTATGCAAAGAGTACATCCAGAAATAATTAAGTATATGATTCCACTCACCCAAGCGATGCGCAATGCGTTCAACCTGAAAGCTGGAGTGAATAATAAAAATCTACCGGAGAACGTCATTTAAGTCAGAGATAAATATGTTAATATCTAAGTAATGATTTCTAGCCGGTTTCAATGGATATAAATATCCATAGCCATGAAAGGCATTGTTTGAGGTCGATCTACTCTTATTAAAATAACTGCTACGGTTTGACCGTCATTTGAGCCTAGGAGGAAACCTAAGCGTTTAGTTGGGAATAACTACGATGAGACTGAAAGATGAGTAATAGATGAAGCTGAATAAGATGGCACTACTAATCATGAGGTTGAAGTGTTATTACAACTAAGTGAAACCTGAAAATAAGTGGCTAAGTAGCAAGTATTGTGCCTAAGGATAAGTCATCAGCCTGGAGATTGATCAAGGGGACAAATTCTTATAAAATCCTCTTAGTAATAGCTAGAGTACTCTTTTCTCCTCATAAGGTTTAATAAGTCAACTTCTTTATCACCAACTTTGTTTCCGTCACAAGCTGATAGTCAACTCTCACCTGACATCTGGTTGTCAACGGACTTGTGCCCAGATCTATTACATGAGTTCTTTAGGCAATAGCACACGATGAGGCCGTTAAGATCTTCTCAGGAAAATTTTCCGAGAAATATTGAGATATTACGACTATGAAACTTACGGGACTATGGTTTACACTACTAATTCTCTCACGAGGCGCGGTTTAAAGTCTATCGTAAGAGATTGATGATATCTTCCCAAGTATCATTTCCGATAGTCAGTGAATCATTACGCAATGGAACTCAGAACAAGTTTGTGATTATTTACGCCGTGCAGAGTCTTATAAGTATGAAGTTGTCGCGAATATCATGAGCATGACCTGTAGATGTCTATTTACGACAGATACAAGGTCTATGACAGATGTCTTGGAAGGGGCAGCGAACCATTACGTATAACGAGTTTGAGGCAGAGTCATATATGCTTGGGTGAAGCAGCTGGGTTAGGAATTCGCTGCTGAGGAGTATCAAATATACTAAGTTTTGTGTCATAGTTTTGAACATAGTATATAGTGATACGTAGGCAATGGGAGATGTAACTAAGTCTATGAGCCTCAGTTTACGATCAAGAAGAACAGGCGTAGTCATGTGGAGTAAAGGCTGACACAAGAGACAGAGAGAAGTATGTTTATTGTTCTACTTGAGTCTTAGACTTTCTAGAACATTGGGCTCCTCTCTGACCCAGGCCACATCTTACACAATGCTCCTTGCCTCTTAAGTTTCATGAAAAATCGTGGTTGTGTTGCCCGTGATGAATAGCCATTTAGCTCAGTGTTAACCCGTGGAATTCGGCCACCTTTTCCACAGAACCTGCTACCCAATAAAAAATAAAATAAAAAGGTAGCAATGGAAACTGCGTGCGCGGGAAAAAGCCTCAAAACCCTGCAGCCCCAGCCAGCCAGGCAAGGCCTAGATGCCAGGACCACATGAGGCGCGCATATTCATCTACATCTCCCTTCTTTGTAACAGTTGAGGTCGACTTGATCCAATCCACCATCTCCGTATCGGGTGCTGGGTACACTCTAGAAACTTATCGGATGGATTTTCCTCCATGGTCAAAGGCTGGTGATGAGGAGGGCTTTGACCCTACCATCTGATCTGATCGTGGTTAGCTTCATGATAATGGTGATAGGGAGATGTACTTAGGGATGAAGACGATACAGACGGCGTAAGCGATTGAGAATCCTCATCAAAGTGAGGACCTTGTTACTCAATCTCGGCCCTGCAGGCTTTACAGTGAGAGCAAGAGGCTAGTAGAGGATACCACTGACAGGTGTTGAGAATAGCCCCTCAGTATCCTCGCATTAATGACAGTGTTATTGCCCTTCTCTTCATGACTCTCTTGTATATCCTTACACGACTTTTTACATTACTAATTGCATTACGAGAAGCTATTCTTAATTTGATAGTTTTAATTAAGCACCCCTTCATCTCATCACGATTTAATATTAGTATTAAATTACTAATTACGGACTCGTGAAAGTTCGTAGGGGACACCGCTTACAGGTTTTAAAAATAGCACCCTTCTTCAACTTTTTTTTTAAAACGTAAACTCATATTCCTACAATACACCGTGAGAGAAATTTTTTAGCATCAGATTTTAATTGCAAATTCAGCTATCTAGCTATGACACAATATCAAATAAAATTACAGCCTAGATGACTCAATATAAAGGAAGAGCGGAGGGCAAGACTGAGCAATTGCACGTGGTGTCCTCTGCGAACTTGATTGTGAAGTATTCTCCCAGAGCCAAGTTCAGTCAAATTTCACAATATCGAACAGGTTGGCCCATGAAGCAATCATTCAGAATGCTCTAACACATCAATTGTCACTCCCAACGAAATCGATTCCTACCTAAGCCTCATCAAGTCGCCAAGTATGACCTAGTACATCCTCATTCCAAAGATCACACCTCTTGTCGACTTTCTCTGGCCTCAGCTCGTCACCAATTACACGTCCACGCCGATATTTACCCCCGACGGACGAAACAAAGCGCGGCGCACAAATCTAGGAGATAGCTCTTGAGATGGAAGTGAGAGGGCTCAGGACAAGTTTACAAGATGATGCAGAAGAGGGATACATTCTCGGCGGGCATGAAATTTCGAATTTTGGCATGGATTTTTTACAAATTGAGCTTTGTGCGTGGTAAGACTTTAGTTGCGAGAGTGCAGGTGACACTATAAACATCGCCATGGTGGGATGGTGCGGTGGTACATCGTCTTGGCCGGTCTGCCAAGTAGAGCCTGGATAGCTTGGACACACATCCCACTCGAGACAGTAGATCGCTGGTTCAAATCCAGCAAAACACAACCAGATTTCTCGCGGCGCTTGTATGCATGGATGACGAAGCTATGCTTGGATAATCAAACGTTTTGAAATTCCCTTTGGTGGATACTTACGGAGGAGGGTTGACTGTTAGTGTAAGCGAACATACTTCATAGTGGTATTTGCAAATGAAATACAGAGTATGAGCATCTCTAACGTCAAGAGAGTCTTCCAAGATGTATTCATAGCACCGGTCATGTGTCATAGCTAGATAGCTGCATACACATTAATTGATTTAAAAAAAATCAACGCGCTTTGATGTAAATATCAATCACTAGATTTTCTTATTACAGAACAAAGTTTATATAGCACTCTGTGTCCTTATGGAAGTAAGTGAGTGAGTGAGGGAGTGTTTATTGTCCTAAAAGTCTATGACTTTGTTAGGACATGTAGGTTCTCTCTGCCTACAGGCCGGGAGTATCTATGCCTCGGGTAGTGTATTCCTCCTTTGCCTCCATCACGACTTCTTTCCAGCAGTAATACCCCCACAGGTCTTCATTCAAGTACACACTAAGGGGAGCCGTTCTCCCGTCATTATCTCTCCTCTCCAGCCAACGAAGCGATGACCATTTGCGGGTGGGTAGCTGCAGGGAAAAGTCTCAAAAACAACTAGGTGCGGGGCTCTCCTATGACAAAGAGGCCGGCCAGCCGGGAGCAGCAGACCTGTGTATACCTAAGAGTGTCTCTCAGCCTTTCTAGTCGCCTCCTCTGATTCATGCCGCAGGTCAAATCGAAATTCATAAAAGGATGCCAGAAATGTCTTGGTCGAGGGTGACTGCCGTGAAGGAGCCTTGCCTAGCATCCAAAAGCCGTTACAGAAGTGGGGCTGTCGAATAACTCATGTACTTCAGATACCCTCCTGGCTGGTAGATTCGGAGTTACAGGATAGAAGAGATGATATAATTGACGAGTCGAAATATAATTTTCCTTGAGGACGCAAGCATGCAATACTTTATTTTCATGGGCTTTTTATTTGCCCGCTGGTTGGTAAGAAATGTCGTAATGTGATGAGAGCTTCTCCAACTACCGTTATAGCGTTTGGAAGCGCAATATTTTTCTTCATTCCCAGCATTATGATCATCGTCTTGGTTGCCTAATGTGTTATCGGAAGCGTATCTTTGACGGAGAGGGAGATAACTCAGCTCAAAGTTGATAAAGTGTTACTCAATCTCGGCTCTGACTCTACAGTGAGAGCTGGAGGCTCGTAGGGGACACCACTGACAGGTGTTGAGAATAGTCCCTCCCACTCGTACAATGTTTCCATGTAACTGGAAAAGATAGCCAAGAAAACGTTCAAAGAATCGCGGTACCATGATTGTATAGGCGTTGTATGCAACCAAACTTATTCTCCCAAGAAAACAAGATATCAACATGTCACGTTACATCTCGGCCCGAATCGTGAATTTTCCCTCATGTGATGCGAGAATAGGGTCGTCATGATCGCATCATGATGGACACAAACTAATTTTGGGCCGACGATTTCATCCTGTGTGATTTGGGTTGTTGGCCACCTGCACTGTACAAGGGACCGGAATAGTGGCCAGACATAACAACAATTACTAGATAAATTTTATCACTCAGTCCTACGGGAGCGAACACATCTTGCACACAGGGGATATATATCCTTTGAAAAGTCAAATAGAAAGCCCTATACCATCGATAACCTACCGAGGCTGAAATCGAGCATTGCGAGCGTTACTTGCAGAATCTGAAATCAAAGTACAATTTTGGCGATAATGACGCTAGTGAAAGGGAGTTAATGACTGATTTATTGGTGCGTCCAGGCAAGCCATAAGAGCACAAGAAAAGAAGCTGTGTAATGCTATCGGATCCACCAAAGCCCATCATAGCACCGAAATATCAAATTTATGCGTTGACTGCTCGACTAACACCCAAGTCCATGGCTCTGTATGCCCCTTCCCAATCCACAATGTAACTCCCTCATCCAAATCATTGAAAATTCCATATGTAAGCTCGAAGACCAAAGAAATACAGTGAAAGAAATTGAACTTAAGCCGCCGTAATGTGCCCCGCAACGACAAGAGCTCGAGAACCTCAAATCCCCCAGCACTAATTCGCTGCCAAGGTTGTTATTTTCCTGTAAATTCGGGTTCTTCAAAAACATTTACAGTAGAGGAAGCTTTTCCAGATGATTTGAGTTGCCAATCACTGTTAGACTGTTAAGAGTAGCCGGTCAGGTAGGTTCGCTGGGTTAATAGGTCAGATAAACGTGACCGTAACAGATGTTAAAAGCGAGATAGCACGTGTAGGATAATATCGGTAGGCGTTAGGATGGCTAAGTTGAAGTTGTATCGGTCGGCCCCAGTGGTTTTCCTGACAGGACAAGACGTGCCGCCTTCGCTCTTTTAGCCAACGCTTACGATCGTGTTAACTCATTTGTAGCCCACGATCCGGGCACATCGTTCACAGTACCACAGGTTCATCCCATAACTGATCATACCCGTGCCAGTTTCATCTATCCGCACACCCCGGGACACTGTTTCCACGGATTTGACACAGCGAGAACATCGTAATAGCGCGACGTGCGGCGCATAAGGTGAGTTGACGTCTCCATGGGAACTAGTAGTATAGGGGGGCTTGTTGCGGCCGGGGGCAGCACTAGAAGAGCTGTTCTGGAATGAGGACGTGTCTGACGTGCTAGATGACATTGCAATGGGATAAACTAGGTGATGAGACAATAGATGAGAGGTCGAGTCAAGTCGCAAGCTTCAATCACAGATGGAAGATAGTGATAAGAGCGGCCAGCGTCTGAGAAAAAAAATGAAGTTGGAATGGACGTGATAAAGAAGTGGTGTAGCGCGTGGTATAAATCTTAATAGCCCGTCACCCACTACGCACGTGTTGGGCGCCTTATCGGCAGAGAGACGGGGATGATTGGAGTGAGTCAGGGAGGAAAGCGGTTGGGTCGAAATTGGGGGATCGAGGGATGGCGAGGCTAAGATATTTAACGGGTCTGGTTTAATGCCGTAGCAGCAGAAGGAATCTTCAGAGAGGAAGAACCCCTTTCAGTAAAGCCGTGGCCGCTACAAACACTGCCCTCCATCCATAAAATTGAACCATGGCGGAAGGGGTGAGAGCATTGTGATCCGACATTGTGCGTCCTGGCGGAATTCGCCATTTGATCCCTTGGACTGCAGGCAATTGCTGCACCCCGAGCCAAGTTAGGCACAAGTGCGCCTTTCGCCCCGCCCGTCCCGGCCCCTTCTGGCGCCGATAAGGCTGTCACCATCTTGAGCCCTGCTGATCCGCAGCGGCTCTTTCTCGCTCTGCCGGATACCCTCTCATGCGTCACCTCCCTCTACAATCCCTACATCCCAGCCTCGGGCCCACAAGGCTGACGACGTGACCACAAAACGGGTATTTGCGCAGGATGACTGTGTGTCCATGTCACGGTGGCCGGGCTACTTTATTCATTCTCCACACGTTTCACTTTGATGAGTCACAGCATTCTCCTCCACCTCCATCCGGCTGCCCACCATCCTCAACTTCTCCGCATCCTCCGCCATTCCAGACCCACACGGCCTTCACATAAGCCAGTCCAGATTCGATGGGCCGTAGGGCGCCGGCGCTGCGCCCACTACACAGTGCCGGTCAACCGAAATCCAATCAAATTATCCCCGTGATAGATGCGAGCATCGTTGTGAAGATCCTTGACATCCGAGCGCACCGATCGATTCTACCTATTGCTGATCTTCCCAACTCCCTCTAGTCCCCTATCATGCAGTTTGTATTTATTTTGCTACTAAATAATATTTCGTGCTATTAGGCATCTTTGCTAACCACAAAGGGTGGATAGGCTCTAACTCGTACATCACGTTTATTCGTGAGCAACTACCAGCATGCACTAGACTCAAGAGGATGTGGCCCTCAGACATGAGAGGCAAAGGGTTCACACCCGTCTACATTTGATGCATTCATTATCATCACGCATGGGCCACGGAGGCAGCCTTTGCTTGCGATACCTACAAGACCTAAGCGATGGGCAGGCAATTTCCGCTCAGGAGCGCGAAAAAAACAACATCTAACCCCTACCCCTTAATGAAATGATTCATCATGGCATACCAGGCAAAATTATCCTTTGCCGCCTTGCGCTCCAACTGATTTAATGGGTCGGGATCGGTGGCCTAGGTCAACCAATCTAATTTCTAACGCCGCGTGGTCAGATAGAATCCACTTCTCTCCTCCCGCATTTCTCGAGTGGGTGTGAGAGGCGTAGTTCAGTGGGCTGTCCCATACACTGCCAACGCCTTTTAAGAACATGAGAACATAAAAATATGAATACCAACATCCCTAGAAGGACTTCAACAAATCTCCGAGTTATTACGCTGTCTCCCATGGATTCTTCCTATTGTGAACTATGACTTGCAAATGGAGGGAGACCGGCACTTGAGCCGGACGCCTGACCAGCACGCCATATCTACTGCCCAAGCCGTAATGGCAGATGCATGCGGTCAGACCGGAATTTGCCGTTTCGGTCCTGCGACATAAGATTTCACTTAATTATTCCTTTGTTTAATCTTGAGATTCGTGGGTATGGCCTTGTCGACATGTTGTTCCCCTCCACTTAGCGGCATGGGATCATTTGAATCTAACGGTGCCAGCCGTCGTCGTCTCAGGGGGAAAGGGACGGCCCATTTGTCTAGGAGTCACTGATTATCCCGGTGACGTAGCTGTGCAGAAAGCGTATCCTACCCTCGCTCGCAAGCTTCCGTCGGGCGAAAGTGCTCGGGCACTGGATTAACGCCGACCTCCCTAGGTGCTTTCGCATGTGGCCCAGCCTGGGAACGACCACGAAGCACATCCTGTCCTTATAGCGCATCAAGTAATCCAGTTCACCTGATAAGGTGAGCTATAAGATAGAATCGCCAAAGAGGGAATACTGAGACTCAGCTTGTGCTCATTGACCCCACAAGCCTTGGCGCGCTCTATTTCCATGTTGCCACAACGACCCGACTACAACTACAGATACTCTATATTAATACCTTCTCCGCATATGCAAACCAATCAATACATCAACAGCCCGGGAGACAATGCAAAATGTATCTTAGAGGAAGATTTGGTTTGGGACGTTCGGATATGATAATGAAAAAGATCTCATTCGTATATAAACGGAGGACACTTTCCCGAGCCACTGGATAAAAATTTTAGACTAGAGCTGCTAAGTTTGTAAGAAATGAGGTACACCTCTGATGATGAATAATTTGGAAGCGGACAGAAGACAATGATTTAACTTAGGAGGCTATAATCTCGAGGGGTTGACAGAGCCAGCCATTCCCGCAAATTTGGGTTTGTCTTGTATTTTCTTGAGTCATTAAATCTGCACGCGGCTGTCTAGCCACAAGACGCGAACGACGCGTTTTGCACAGATACTTGCCTCTTTTAATATGGAGATACTCACGATCTGAATTTTATTCGTAAGTACCACAATAAGGTAGTTTAGCTTGAAAATCAATATCTCTCATCCTTGAGTACTCAAAAAATTGTAATACCAAAACCTTTGGCTAATCAAGAATGCTCTTATTATTCATGCACAAAGGCTCCACGAGGGATCTGGACGTGTCCTGCTATGTTTGAGCCAGCGACCTCGTGTCCCAAGTGGAATAGATTTCCAAGCTATCCAGATTATACTTCGGAAATTGTTGTGAGTGATATACCACTGCACTATGCAACAAAGATATGCTTGTAGCATCATCTGCACACCCTGACACAAAGTTTATTTTATTTTATTTTTTTATTTCATTGTGTATGCAACTCTAAAGCTATGACACTTCTATCTAATTAAATGTTCCAAATTACAATTGTCCTTCATCAGGTACATTTTTCTCAAATTATTTATTCATTTTATATCCATTTGTGCAAATTATATTACTTCATTCTAGGCACACCCTCTTGTGTATTCCAACATGAAATTAAGCTGTCCCCTATTTTTGGTAAATTAGAACAGTTACTTGATTTAATAAATTTTAATAGCTTTTCTCTCCCACCCTTGGTATTTAATAGCAAACTGAGACTGCGTGGCACAACATCTGAGAGCTCTTCTTTTCTTTGGGCTCTGAATTTTGGGCACTGAAATATAAGGTGGTGGCAGGTTTGCTTCTCTTTACCACAGAAATTACAAATGTTACTGTCTGCTTTTCCAATTTTTTTGAGGTGTGTCAGGATGTTTCCAATTCCAGATCTGACTTGAAAATATGCTGACTGGGTTGCTCGGCTGTAAGCTTCTAAATTGATAGGTTTCATGCGGAAATGACACAAAGTTGTGTAGCGAAGAACCAAGGTTCAACTCGGTGCGCGGTGTTATTTTTAAATCAATTAATGTGTATGCAGCTATCTAGCTATGACACATGACCGGTGCTATGAATACATCTTGGAAGACTCTCTTGACGTTAGAGACGCTCATACTCTGTATTTCATTTGCAAATACCACTATGAAGTATGTTCGCTTACACTAACAGTCAACCCTCCTCCGTAAGTATCCACCAAAGGGAATTTCAAAACGTTTGATTAACCAAGCATAGCTTCATCATCCATGCATACAAGCGCCGCGAGAAATCTGGTTGTGTTTTGCTGGATTTGAACCAGCGATCTACTGTCTCGAGTGGGATGTGTGTCCAAGCTATCCAGGCTCTACTTGGCAGACCGGCCAAGACGATGTACCACCGCACCATCCCACCATGGCGATGTTTATAGTGTCACCTGCACTCTCGCAACTAAAGTCTTACCACGCACAAAGCTCAATTTGTAAAAAATCCATGCCAAAATTCGAAATTTCATGCCCGCCGAGAATGTATCCCTCTTCTGCATCATCTTGTAAACTTGTCCTGAGCCCTCTCACTTCCATCTCAAGAGCTATCTCCTAGATTTGTGCGCCGCGCTTTGTTTCGTCCGTCGGGGGTAAATATCGGCGTGGACGTGTAATTGGTGACGAGCTGAGGCCAGAGAAAGTCGACAAGAGGTGTGATCTTTGGAATGAGGATGTACTAGGTCATACTTGGCGACTTGATGAGGCTTAGGTAGGAATCGATTTCGTTGGGAGTGACAATTGATGTGTTAGAGCATTCTGAATGATTGCTTCATGGGCCAACCTGTTCGATATTGTGAAATTTGACTGAACTTGGCTCTGGGAGAATACTTCACAATCAAGTTCGCAGAGGACACCACGTGCAATTGCTCAGTCTTGCCCTCCGCGACCAGAATCGTGGCGCACAAATGTGGTAAGAATTTTTTTCGGCTAGACATAGAAATTGTTATGACTGATAGGTGAGGAAATACTAAGGAAAGATGTAATTGCGAGATGCGTTAACTTCTACCATTTCTGAAGGGGCTAACACACTATAGAGCATTTTGCACGTGACAATATTTTTTCGTATCAGATTTTAGTTGCGTGTGAAGCTCTCCAGCTATGATACAATATCAAAGAAAAGTACAGAATAGATGATTCAGCGTAAAGGAAGAGCACTCATGCCTCGGATTTCATTTGCAAGTACCACTGCGAAGTTATGGTGGCTTTTTCTTCACCCCAAGTCAACCCTCATCCGTGAATACCCACCCAGGGGAACATCTCAAAAACCCTGAGTTATCCAGACATGCCTCCATCATCTTTCAACTTTTCTCCGCGCGAAGTATGGTCTTAGGCGTCTCCTTCCCAAGTGGAGTAGGTGCCCAGGCTGCTCAAACCATACCAGAGAGCACCACCAGGAGGTGGATCACAACACCTTCTGCTAGGCGCAGGTTCACTAGGCGCAAGACTCGAGACGTCGGAGAGGGCGTAGCGTACGATGTACTGAGGAAGGACGCCTCCTGGGAACGCGGAGGGCTTTCTAGAGAAGTGGTAATTGGGAAAGCGGGGAGTCGTTCTAGATAAAGGGGCCGGAGGTGACGGTAGGTCACTATAGTTGGCAGAGGACGAGAGTGAGATGTGATTAGAATAATGTAACTATTCCTAAAGACAGAAAACAAAGCGTGAAGATCTCAGTCTCGGAAATGGAAACTACATTGGTGCCCTCGCTAAGCAATAAAGACTAGTGGGTGGTGTTCTCTGGTATAGTTTGAGTAGACTGGGCACCTACTCCACTTGGGAAGGAGACACCTCAGATCACATATCGCGCGGAGAAAAGTTGAAAGATGATGGAGGCATGTCTGGATAACTCAGGGTTTTTGAGATGTTCCCCTGGGTGGGTATTCACGGATGAGGGTTGACTTGGGGTGAAGAAAAAGCCACCATAACTTCGCAGTGGTACTTGCAAATGAAATCCGAGGCATGAGTGCTCTTCTTGTAAATTGAGTCATCTATCATACACTTCTCTGATATTGTGTCATAGCTAGATAGCTGCATACGCAATTAAAATCTGATGCAAAAAAAAAAGAAAAAGACTAGTGGGATTAAACAAGGGACCCATAAATACTGCCTGAGGCATTTATCAAGAATCCTTACACCTTCCATCGTTTGCTTATATTTATAGTGTCAGCTGCACTCTAACAATTTTGGCTGCAAGGGAGCGGAAAATACTGCTTAATCAGTTGTAGCTAGATCGCACATTACTCCCTATTCAAGCGGGTCTCTCGGGTAGAAACTGGATAGCTTGGACGCCCATCCCACTTGGGACTTAAGATCGCTGGTCTATATCTCTCAAGGAGCAGTGTTATTAGTATTCCGTAGGGTAGGAATTTGGTACAAGTAGGTTACAGGTGTGGAGTATGGTGGTGATTCCTAAGAGTAGGAGGTGTAAATTCAGCGTTAGGTATAGGGTTCACGTAAGAAGTAAAGGTAAAATAAGTAGTAGGTGAGAAGGGTACAATAACGGCGGTCTTCTTTAGAGAAGAGATAAGTAAGTGAACAATAGGTATGAGTATAAACAGAAGACGTTGCGTGAAGAAGAATACTCCTTCACGCTGGGTATATATGTACATCAGATAATAGGACAGCCCTAAGCTCTGTCTTGAACAGTATTACTACGCATTCCCTATGAAACTACCCTATGTTCCTGAGCCTGTCCTAATTGTTTGAGAACTTGATCTAACCCCGAGTTGTGTTTTAGAATGGAACTCCCCATGAGACACCATCCTAGTTTCCGCCACGTTTATCCATGAAAATATCAAATAACTATCAATCAGATTGGGAGAGAACATATATGAACAATAAACAGGAGGATAGATCTTGCCAACTGGAAGGGAATGTGCTATGAACGACAAACCAAGAAGAAACATGCAGATACAGTCCAAGTTGTGGCATACCAAGAGTTGGCGAAATTCTGGGCCAAGCAGTAACAAACTCGGAAGCTTCGGCAGTTAGCAACTGTAGATTCCGAAACTTGGAGAGCAGCCAAATTTTACCAAAGTAAAGATTCTGAACGGCAAAAACTGAGTATTCAAGGCTCACCATTCTTCCTCCACCATAACCTGACAAGGGCCTATAGCAGTTTGGCAATGCAAATACGAAGTGAGCACATGGGGCTTAATTCGTATTTACATAGAAGAAAAGTACACGGAGTGCTAAGTCCAGGTTGTCCATACGGCTACCAATCACAGAACCCCAAGCATATGATTATGTCCTGCCCCCGATGGTCAAATGGTAGATCTGAGATCTGGAGACAAGCCATAGATCGGTCCTATGAAGCGATGATAAACAATCCTAGAGATATAAAAAGGATAGCACAGTGGATCCTAAACTATGGTTGGATAGAGCAATTCCAGATGACAAAAGCGGTCGAAATACTGCTGAGGCAAAGGAAAAGGTCAAACAATGCTTGGGGAGGATAGAGAAGATCTGGTTAGTTTACATGGATGGCACTATAGTGTAACAGCGCTTCCTGAAGAAAATATGTGAAAACTTGAGACAACAAGTAGAAAGGTATGGAAGGTTTTCACCATAAAGGTTTCCTCCCGGGTAAATATTATAGACTGTAGACACGTGCATGGGCCCATAGGGCGCCAAATCAGGGTAATGAAATCAATTTCAAATCAATCAGATTACTCTCTGCGCTTGTATCCATGAATGGCGAACGCATGCTCGCATAACTAAATCTCTTTCATTTTTACCTGGTGGGCAGTCACGAACGGTGGCCGAAGGTTATGTGTAAACAACAATACCTCATATTGATGTTTGTGAATCAAATACGACGTACGTGTCTGGAGTCGAAATAGTTCTCTATCGATTGCACATAACAGCGCTCATTTATCATGGCTACATAGCCACACAACTGAAAATACATTAAATGACTGAAAAAAGATGTGGTATTTGGACTATAAAGAAACAACACAATTACTCATGGTAGACAATCTAGCGAGATGCTCTCCCAATAAATTCGTGAGGAAATTCTGGATCAGTTCTGAGATAATACTTCGTCCTTAGACACGTGGAGGGCATAGCTGGCATGTTTCCGGCACTTTTTTTTCTTTGTACAGACCTTTATGAAATTGAATACATTACGGGACATTCGGTACCACGTGGAAAAAATATATATTCACAGACTCCATAGTGGATGGCGGCTGAAGAGCAGGTAGATTTGGGTACCATGCGACGTACAAATTATTCTGTACAGAACGAGGAATGTGGAATTCCATTCACACAGGGGTTAGTTAATTGAAATTGTTTAAATCACACTGACCATTCTCACTTCCGAATTTTCCGTAAGCTCCAAACTCAAGGGTTTATATCTTGCTTTCATACGTACTCTTTCTTTCTTTCCCTGAAGCACCTCGGGGGCTGAGAGAGAATAATTACTTTCCGTCACTGTTCGTTGCTTGCGAGGAGTTATTGTCTCGCTGTAGATCTTTGAGCTGTTGAAATCATAAACAAGCAGACTCGATTCATCCTGTTATGCCTTTCTACAAAGAGAAGTATTACTAAATATCAAGGAGTTTGATTCGTTAAATTTACTCATTGTGGGATACTTTATATCCCGAATATTCAAGTTATATAATTATTTAGTAGATAATCTCTCAGCATAATACATAGAGTGAACATATCGTGCTCAGACCCAAGATAGTAGAGCACCAAAAACATATGTTATTGAGTAGCTTCTTCTCACGAACCCACTTTGTCCGCTGTAGCACTACTAGAGGTAATTGGCTCATCTGGGCCAAGAAACCGTATCCGCGGACCTTCTTGGTGATACAGGCCATGACAAGCTCATGTCCAAGTGAGCTAATAAGAAAAGTAATGAGAGTTGCCATTGGACGTCCAAAATGTGGCGTTGATGCACTATATACATGTCTCCGGAAGAAATTGTGGACCGGAATATTCCACTCCCGCGAAAATTCTAGCCAGTCGGTGCTATTCCACCAATCAGAGTAGAAATGACGGTCTGCGAAACCTGCTATACATTAGCTATCTCCGGCATAGAGATTCTGGGCACGTCGTGGCCATTCTTGCTGATAAAGGAAGAAGCTTACATGTGATTTCGGCAAAGGCCCCTAATACATACTCGAAGATGACTAGAAACACCAGCAGAAATGTGACCATAAAAGGAAAGAGGAGCAAGGAAACAGTTTCGGCTAGGATCAAGATAGTTTCAGACAGGGAAATGGCAGTTTCCAAACGCTCTGCAGATTCAGCCAGCACAGGGACAATGAATTCTTCCGAAGTATTTGTCAGAAGAAATATAACACCAAAAACTGCAAGAACTTTATATCCAAGTGCACTCCAAACGATTCTATCGGTTCGTGGATACTCCAGTTCGTAGCAAAGGGTAGGACACAGGAGATAGTCCCAATAATTTGACCAAGTCAAGTTTTTTGGGTATGTAGATGATCCAGTAGGTGATGTAAGCTCCATGGCAAGATCTTCTCTAAGCTGAATCAGATCTCTGTCGGACGTACTTGAGGCCTTTGGAAGTGGTACCTCACCCACACCAGGATACTGGTAGGCTGGTGCCTTTGAGGCAGTGGCTGGTTGGTCTAAGGACTGTAATCGTCGTTCTGTCTCGCTGAGATGTCCGTTATAGAAAGCGTATGAGTGCATTTTCATGAGCAGCACAAATGTATGCAGTATTAGGAAAACTTGGGCAGTCCATGTCCAGGAGCGAGCAAAGGGAATCCTACACTCATCAGCTCAAAGGGTATTACTAGACAAGTAGAGATAGTCTTACGCTACCCAGAAGACAAACCACAAAGCTTGATACATGCTCTGCACTATCATTCCGCCCACGTTCCATTGCAGCCCCCATCTTTGGCCCTGTTTACTTCGAAATAGTCTGTGAAATGGTAGGCTTACGGTGGTTGTCAGTATCATGAATCCATCAGCTACAGCGAGCTCCCACACTTTGATCCTGAATAACTGCCATATCTTAACTCTTGTAGGGAATCCCGTATCTTTGATGTTCCTCATAACGGTTGTAATAGTCATGATGGTCAAGGCAATCCAAAAAAGGACATAAAATCCCTTAAAATCTCTATATTCGCTTTTGGAATCAAAATGGGAAACCCGACTCGCATATTCAATTGTTGGGAAGAGTCTGCGGCGTTTCTCTCGAACTTGATGCTGGGCAGTGGACAATGACTGCAGGGAAGGCGGTGCATCGGGAGGAACAGAGGTAGACCGTCCACTACCATTCTTAGCCAGGTCCTCGAGTTCATGAGATAAAGATCTCCCACCTCGTTAGATCAGAGAGGTTATTTAGCTTGTCGCCCTTATCACCTCTGGCTGGAGTTGTACTTGAATCATCTGATTTGACTGGGCGAGAGCGGAGGGTATATTCGCGAGTAAAACTTTCATTAGATTGAGTTGCAACTTCTGCTGAAGTGGACATGATTCAAGGAAATAAATTGATAAGTTGTTGCACCCAATATTCGGAAGGTTTCTAACAATGATTGTTGAAAATGAAGACGAATAGACATCACCGGGTAAGCGTTTACATATATTAAGTAAAGTAGATGTCTATCAGACAAAAGAAACACATCGCCTGGATAGTGTAAACCTAAATACTATTACAAAGATAGTAATTGGGAATTCTCCGAGGTGTAAGAGAGTGTGGGCTTGAGCAAATTACAAGTTGCAATGTGGCAATGAAGATGAGGATCTCTAAACACAACAGTCGCTTGCCAAGCCCGTCCGTAACGAGCAACCGTTTCAGCACACAGCTGCTCACAACCACATACAGACCGTCATCTATCCTGCCCGACGGGCCCTACCTTTGTCGAAATTTTCGAATTGTAAGGGTTTCGCCATTGTAGAACTTTATCAAGTTTGGGTCAATCCAAGAGCCTGGCCCACTTAGGGCCCCTAGTTTTCCAGAATGAGTTCACGTAGGTTGAAAAAGTGATCCAAAAAACATCTTCGCGGCAGTTCTGATGTGTTTCTAGTGAAGCAATTTATTCGTAACGTACGAGCCTCCAAGACTATCGCAGATGAAAGAGCAGTGGTCCAGAAAGAGAGTGCAGCAATACGAGCAAGTTTCAGAGAGGAGAGTGGCGATTCTAATGTTAGGTAAAAACACATCCGGTCATTCTAAAGAGAAAACTTCGATACTAAAACACTTAGACGTAACAATGTTGCTAAGCTTTTGTATCTATTCACCCTCGGCGAGAGGACACATTTCGGTCAGATTGAATGCCTCAAGCTATTGGCTTCTCCTCGATTCGCCGACAAGCGTCTAGGATACCTAGGGACCATGTTATTGTTGGATGAGAATCAGGAGGTTCTGACTCTAGTCACGAATTCTCTGAAAAAGTGAGGCTCTGTATTCATTAAGCCGTTCCAAGCACTCACCCATGATAGCGATTTAAATCACTCTAACCAGTACATTGTCGGACTAGCACTCTGTACCTTAGGAAATATTGCATCAATTGAAATGTCGAGAGACCTTTTTCCTGAAATCGAGGTCCTACTTTCTACTGCGAATCCGTATATTCGGAGAAAAGCAGCGCTCTGTGCTATGCGAATATGCAAAAAAGTCCCTGACGTGCAAGAAAATTTCTTAGAGAAAGCGACAGCTCTTATTTCAGATCGGAATCATGGGATGCTTCTTTGCGCGTTAACTTTTGTCACCAGTCTCTGCGAGACAGATGAGGCAGAGGGCGGCGAAGAAGGAATGGTAGAAAGATTTAGACCACTCACTGGGGGACTTGTACGAACCCTGAAGGCGTTAGCTAGCTCAGGGTACGCTCCAGAACATGATGTTATGGGAGTTACCGATCCATTTTTGCAAGTCAAGATCCTACAACTATTAAGGGTTCTGGGGCGTGGAGATTCCAAGACCAGCGAACAAATTAACGACATTCTTGCTCAGGTCGCCACTAATACCGACTCTACGAAAAATGTTGGAAATTCGATACTCTACGAAGCAGTGCTTACAATTCTAGATATCGAAGCAGACTCTGGCTTGAGGGTTCTTGGAGTCAATATTCTCGGCAAATTTCTCTCAAATAGAGACAACAACATTCGTTATGTCGCCTTAAATACTCTTATCAAAGTAGTTGCTGTCGAGCCGAATGCGGTCCAGAGGCACCGTAATACGATTCTTGAATGCCTGAGGGACCCAGATATCAGCATCAGAAGAAGAGCTCTAGATCTGAGTTTTACTTTGATCAACGAGAGTAATGTACGACTTTTGATTAGGGAGCTGCTAGCATTTTTAGAAGTAGCCGATAACGAGTTCAAACCTATCATGACAAGTCAAATAGGTGTAGCTGCAGATAGATTTTCCCCGAATAAACGATGGCACATTGACACGATGCTTCGAGTCTTGTCGCTGGCGGGCAACTACGTCAAGGAGCAGATCCTCTCATCTTTTATACGGTTGATAGCTACAGCCCCTGAGCTTCAAACTTATGCTGTACAGAAATTATATGCTAGCCTAAAGAAGGACATTACACAGGAAGGATTAACACTAGCTGGAGCCTGGTGCATCGGAGAATATGGCGATGCCTTACTAAGAGGAGGGCAGTACGAAGAAGAAGAACTAGTACAAGAAGTCAAAGAGGTGCAAATTGTCGATTTATTTTCATCCGTGCTAAATAGCAGTTATGCGACACAAGTAGCAACAGAATATATCATGACCTCATTAATGAAGCTTTCAACCAGATTTACAGAACCAGCTCAAATAGATAGGCTCCGAAGAATTTTACACAGTCATTCGGCAAGTCTGGATGTAGAGGTGCAACAGAGGGCCGTTGAGTACGGAAATCTATTTGGATATGATACTATTCGGAGAGGCGTTTTAGAAAAAATGCCACCGCCGCAAATCAAGGAAGAGTCTAGGGTCTTTGGTGAAGCTGCAAAAAAGTCGAACAAGTCAAATCATCGAAAATCCAAGAGTTTTAAATCTACCGAACAAGATCTATTGTTTGATCTGATGGGGGACGTAACCGCTCCAACTGCAGACTTAGGCACAACAACACAAAATAATTCAGACTTACTAGCTGATATTTTAAGTTCGACAGATAATCCAGCCTCAGCCCCTACTATGCAGGCGTCAAATGTTTCATCCATAATGGACTTATTCGGAGGGTCTGCTACCCCACAAAGCAGTATGCCTCCGGCACCCACTTCGACGTCTATAAATATTTATCCTGGAATATCCCAGACATCCAGCACTTTGCCAACGTATCCTTGTTATGAAAAAAACGATGTACTCATAGTTCTTCAAATACAACGCAATGCTGAAGGTACAATTCAAATTCTAGCTAAATTCAAAAACACTTCCCTGCATGAATCTGTATCAAATTTTGTGTTACAAGCTGCTGTGCCCAAGACACAGAAACTACAACTAAATGCTATCTCTAATTCAGATTTTGGACCTGGCTCCGAAGCTTCGCAAACCATGAGGATCACAGGAAGTAAAGGCGTAAGAATTTATCACATGATGTTATTTATAGATGTACTAATTAAATTTATAGCCACTTCGCATACGGTTAAAAATTTTGTTTGCACATGCATCTTTAGGACAAATTCAGGATCAAGTGGACTGGTCAGAACCAAAGTAGGTGAAATTGATGTGTATGTTTACTTAATCTTCAAGGCACGAGGAAGGGGCTTATGGAGTTCTCGTCTAATTAGCTCCTTGAAATTAACTGCGAGCATAGACTACCTCAATTTTAGTTATCAATCTCGACTAAGTGGCAAACCTCCCATTGCGGGCTTAAGAAAATTTTGCCTTGTAGGGCTGTTATTAAATTGACTAATTATTACGCTCAGATAGCCCTACTAAACCAACTTTTGTAAATAGCTAGATGACTAAGCCGTCATCAAGGATATGCTTTTAGAATCTCGGTCGCAAGTACTGATCGTTCTCTAGATATACATGCTAGTATGGTGCCGCACTTTAATTAAGAACAGGCATCGAGCTAAATTCAAGTTAAAGTTCGAGAACACAATAGGCTGTGGCAAAGTATGCGACCAAGGCTAATTTGAGGGCGGGTCATAGAATAGATAGTAACTCTTCGAACGTATCTGATTTAGGAATACTATCTCAGTATCTGACGCTATCATTCATCCATCACATGAACCTTCGCATGAAACCCATAACAAAATGTGATAGAAAGGAACATAATATCCCACTCATAACCTAGCATCAGCAAGGCCTAGTGCTTGGCTTATCTAAAAATTGAGGATATAACGATTCAGCGTCATATCTGTCTCATGTGATTGTGAGGTTCTCACAGGAATTATTTATAATCACATGTTACAATGCACCACAGTCATTCGATTCCATTTTATTCTCATCGCTTAGTCCTTATAAAAGACTGCTGGCCTTGCGAGTATCTTCCCTTCAAATTATTCTCACACCATCTCCATTTACTTACTCTTCTATACCTTGTTACTCTTTCTATCAGATCAAAAATATACTCCGAGAGCCCAAAAAACAATATTTCGCAAACTATCTCGAATCATCCCAAGGCGTAACCCGAACCCGATACTACAATTCTATCGGTACAATCTAATTCTTCTTATCTCTTCGCTGTAACGACATCAAGGGATAAAATCAAACCAAAAATTCCAGTTTTGGGTATATTTTGCAGATATTTTATAAGCAGCATCCACAATGGCAGCAACTATTACTAACATCTGGATACTATTTATCTGCCTGATGTCCAAAATTATGTTGGCATCACCTATACTGAATGAAACGAGTAGTTCGCATCTTAATTTAAGACTTCGGGATGAAACAGATACAAAGCAAAATTTATCGCTGAAGTGGTCTAATTGTGAACGCGAGCCTCGTGAAATCCTCAGAAATTGTCATGAGCAGAATGACATGGACTATTTTGCATTCACTCCAAAAAACGTCTATGAATCTCAACATGCAATTTGGTATGCTAACTGGACATTTTCACGTCAAAGTGATCCTAGATGGCTCGAAATTGGAGAATGGAGATTATTTTCGATCGAATACTTTCATACTAGAAACTTGGATTGTGGCAGCTTTTGGACTGATTGCAAAGATATGCCTACTTGGCATGAAATCCTCAATCTCTATCCAAATGATAGAGAGCTTGCCCGAAGAGTTTATTTTACTAGTGAAAGCTATTTGATCATTAGAAACTATCTCAACGCCATTCAAACAATCTTGGACGAGGTTCACATGTCCCTCTATGGAATGCTTCCGGAAATTGTGCAGGTCTTCACCAGTCAACCAGACCCATCAGCCCAAGCCGCATGTGCAATGATTGGAGCTGTAACTGATACGCTTGTCAATGTTGGTGTGACTGCCGTTACTGGAATGATGACGAGCACCTTAACAAGTTTTTATGATAAAATGAAATTAAGTGTGCTTAAGGCACTGCGTGACCCGGAAGTAGCAGCTACATGGTATACAAAGACATTAAACAGTAAGATCTTCTCTTTTAAAAAAATGGCATAACTAATTAGAATTTATCAGCCAAATGGATCCCACCTCCTGTAGTCAGATGGCTCAGGAACCAAGATCAGTTTAATGCTTGGGGTGAGATGACACCAGATACATCTGATGAGCTCGACTCTTTACCTGAGCGTGTCTCAAAGATATCTCAAAATTTACCCAAATCCAACTATCCACCGCATTCGAAACCAGAATTGACACCTGAGCTTAAAAAGATTAAAGATGCATATAAAAAGGCTTATTCAAACTTGCCATGGGTAAAGCCAGTAACCCAAATTCCAAGGAATTTACGATTTGGGCTGCGTTTTAATCTACAAATTTTGGTTAAAGAGCAAGCTAAATTACGCCTTATGTCTGGCTCATTGGGAGGAGGCAGCACTTGCTCGCGTTTTGGTGGCTCAGATACAAATAATAATGCCATCAATATTAATCAAGTTCAGGGGCAACTGGCATCCGTCTTCCCACAGGTTTTGGATTCGCTAGGTCAAGTGTATGAAGGTATCTACAATGGCTCCCTAAGTGAGGAAGGACAACCATCATGGCTTGCAACTTCAATGCTACGTCACAATTGGGCCGAAGAAAAATCATACCTGGCACGCCTTAGGCATGGTAACTCCATGAAATCGTAAGATACCTCTCCAAAAAGACTAATCATAATCTCACATTAAATTAGGCAGGTAATGCGAGCCTTTGTTCTAAATATTGCTTCTCAGGTTTCAGCAAAAGATGGCAGCTACATGAAATGCAGTCATAAATCATGGGCAGCCGAAAAGTGCTACAAGATGGCCCGGGCAAAAGCTACTGATGAGGCTTCGCTGTCATACTTCTGCCCTCGCCCAGATACAGATCCTGGTCTTATATGTCAGGTCGGAAGATGGGCATTCTCAGCTGACAATTCTCATGAGACACCGTGGCCTGCACTTCTTAAGTTGGAGAGTTTCTTGCATGACCGATTCGAGCTCACAAGGCTAGACGTCCTAAATGATATATATGATCACTATGAGCTACAGGGAAATGATCTACAAGTAGATTGGAATTCTTGGTTTCTTGGATCATTGTCTTCAATGGGCAGTTTTTCTATGCCTGTCTGCAAGAATGATAGACTGGAAATTAAAGACAATACTGTGCATGGCCCTGGGCGTAAATCATTATTCGGAAAAAATAGCTGGGCGGTTCCTAATGTCTGTGGTATAGACGGCAAAGAGACAGAGAAATTCTTTGAGGAAATGGGGTTTCTTGAGGGCTCATTACCCTGGAATTCCAGAAGCAAGAATGAAAGATGGGCCGGAGGTGGAACAAATGAATTCTATAATGACCGATTAGTCAGGGTATGTCTTACAACTAAAGTCGAGTCTAGTTATGCTTATCTCTTAAACTAATCCTATCTAGGCGAATCGAGATTCTTTTAAGACGAATCCATTTGCACGTTATCGTACGATGTGCTACCAGCACATTCGTTTTGCCGAGCATAAAGATTGGAAGCGTTATGACGCCTTTAACCTTAATAATCATGCTCGAGTGCACAAAGGACGTGATCAAGATTGTGACCTTGTTCTCGAGGCGACAGCCAATATGACTGAGGAGCAAGGGAATCGTTGGTTCTGTCAGAAGTACGATGAATATGGCAATGATTACGGACACACAGTATTCAGCCGTGAAACCTGGAAAGTTGAGATTAATCGCGTGCCGCGTGATTGGGTCGAAAATCATGAACACGATTGCCAGAAATGGCTACAAAAGAATGGAAAAACCCCCACTCCACCGGCACCAGTGATAACTGGTGTACCGCGTGAGAAAACTGGCAAGTTATGGCTTGAAGCCATAGCTGCAAAAAAACAACATGATGAAGAGCTAGCAGCCGAGGCTAGGACAAAGAAGCTAGATGATGAAGCCGAGCGAGAATTTGAAGAGAGCTTGAAGTCGATGAGTATAAAAGATTCCGAAGCGGCTCGGAAAAATCATAAGCTAGAACAAGAAGAAGCAAATGAACTTCGAAAGCAGATAAAAGAGGAAGCTAAAAACCAGAAACTTAAAAAAGATGAGGACTGGAAGAAAATATTGCAAGAACCACCTCAAGATGAATATAAATGGAAAGGATGGAAGGGGCTTGTCACTGCAACCTCTCATCCTATTAAATTTATCAAACGAATCTGGAGAAAATTAACACAGCCGCATAGAAAAGATTCATAAGTGGTGAGTTTCACTCGGACTCAAGATTAACTATATCTCGTGCTATCTGATCAGTGTACTGGTGGTGGACAATTTTGCCACCGTAGCCTCAGTCCTAGGCAATCACGAGTTGGGTTCACCTTCAGTTCTAGTCTCAGAAATCTCATCCTTGCGTTTTTTGGTCCAGGACGACACGGACCTGTGTTAATTTTCTTGGGTACCTCAGCTACTTGCTCGGTCATCTTTGTCAGCATCCTCTGCTCTTTCGCCCTTAACTGAAGCCTTTGTACTGTGGGGCTTGTCCGAGTCTCCAGGCTTCTGTTTTGGAATAGCTTCGATCCCGGTCTCTGTTATGAAGCCTTTTTTGGATCATGAGAAATGCCTCTATTTAATCCTGAGCGCCGACTAAAGCTTAGTTATGTTGTTTTGAACCTTATATTGCAAGTTTCTCCACTGATAAAGATGGTATCTTGTGAATAAGTACTAACGGGTTCAGGTTAGCAATGCTCTTCATGTATTGTAAAGGTAAGATCTTCCAAATATTTTTTGGCTTAAGGGTTAATGTCGGAATACTCGGGTGGTATTTATATCACAAGCTTTCTGTAGCAGTAATAACAATTGGTGGTTAACATATATCTTCTTTTCCTTGTCTTCTAACTAAAGGAAACCCGTATATACAGCAGTTGTCCCTCTCTCCTGTCGCCATTTCTAAATAGGTAACTCATTACTCATCAACCTAACTAGTCATCATTTATAAGATAATACATGAAAGGTCATTAAGTGATTTTGTCATTCGACACTTAGGGATGATTATCAATAAATCAATGTGAGCTGCTGATATGTTGATATTCACAACTAGAAGGATCTGAGAGGTGGAGGGAGCTTCTGATATACACAAGTGAGGTAGCTAGACTCCCGCCTTAAGTTCCCAAAGTAGTATCATGGAACATTTAGAATCATCCATTTGGTTGTATAATCTATAAAAAATTTCAATACAGTGCTCTGTTATTCTTCTACTTATCATGAAATCGCCAGGAAGATTCCTTTAAACCCAGGGATTATTACTATTGTGCATTGTAATCTTGGTATTATCAACATAACATCATACCATATCTAGTATCTAATATCGGGTCCTGGAGACACATAATTTAAGAATTTAGATCATTTGTTCTCTATATAAGCATTTGTAGATACACATACTTTTTAGCGTCCATGGCCGTGATAACTTCCCTGCTAACTACACGTATTATTAACTAGAATTGTTGAGGCTCGGCTTATCTTCATCTTGCGTCTACCACTTCCCACCCGATAACTGGCTTCCAACTGACTTGTTTCACACAAAGCTTAGAACAATTTCACAAGTACTAGAAATGTCGCGGAATGAAATGGGTGTTACATTTCCGAAATAGAAAATTAAGTTGACTAAGAGAATCTCATTTTCAGTTTTGTTTATTTCATTCATTTCTCTAGTATAACATCCTATGCGGTATCTATATACAGAACCATGAGGACGGTAAGCCATGTTAAGAAGGGAAAAAGCTTTCAAGTATTAAAACCAAATCTCCTGACACCCTGAACCGACTCGGCTTAGTGCTGAATGTCACTAACCATGGGCCTATTCTGAATCAATAGGAACTATCTCCAAAAATTTCCGCACTATTCTGCTCTATTCTATGCTGACCTGTTCTGTTCTAATATATCCTACTCTATTCTATTTCGTTCTGTTCTCATCTGTCCTTGTCTAAACCATTCTATTCCGTATGTGGGTATACTGAATAGTTTGAGAATAATAGAGAGGAGTATATAATGAGTGTTCTGGGTGACATAAGATTGGTAATTTTTGGTCTTGTATTCTTAGGAACCCTTTCGATAATATTGGATTCATCCGCATCTTTACATCTTAACCTCTGAACTATTGACCTCTCGATATCTTGGCACTGAGGACGTTCCTTTGAACCGAAAATTTATAGACTTTCCCCTGAATTTTTTAACTTCTCCTTAGATCAGACCAATGCTGTGAGAAATTGAATAACGAAGGCGCCTCCTCACTCGGCATCGTTCGTTGGAGTGTCTAAAGAGTAGGCCCCGATGGTGGTGCTACAGGGGCTTCGACTACCCTACGTGGTCGTCCCGGCCCTCTTCTGGATCCTTTAGTCTTCTTACTGTGGACTAAAGTGAATCCCGAATCATCAGTCGTTCCGACTGTTCGCATTAGCACCATTGTGGGGTTTTCATTCCTTAAATCCGCCGTTCTTGATAGAAGCTCCATCCGAGTCTTCTCTACGCTTCTCTTATGGGCCTGGTAGGCCCGATACGCTGCTTTTTGCCACGAACAGTTTTCTCTACCGCGATTCCCGCAAGAAACCCTTTTCATCGGACAGTCCCGAGTTTGGTGAGCACCAGCGCACTCACCGCACCTGGCTATCTTTCCACAAAATGCCTGTGTATGTCCTCAGTAGCTGCAGTTGAAACACTGCTTTTGCTGTGCTCGCGAGGACTAAACTTGCGCCGTGAAGAGCATGGCCATGATAAAAAAGGCCGTTTTGGACCACTTCCGTTTGTAATGCCTCTGGCGGGAGGCTAAACACGATTGATCCTCGATTGCAGCCATTTTTCCTTGACCGCTCGTGTTCTTTTTAGTCGGATAGCTATCTAATTCTGTTAATTGTAAGGCTAGGAATCCGAGTCCCAGTCGCCGTCTCTATCTCCCTGATGATGGTGGAGTTGTTGGCATCTCTACCGTCCTTAATCCTTGTCCACAGTGGGATACCGGATACCTTGACTTAAAAGTCTTGCCGCTAAATTCTATAATCGTTGGGTTGATGGATGTTTAGTACCGCGTCTCTCTGGGACGCCAATTGGACAAACGTCTCAGTGTCGCTACAGTGCATTTGTCGAATTGCGTATGCGCCTTGGATCTATTCTTCTGCCTTTGATAGCAGCTCTTCAGGCTGCAATTTATCCGCTCCGTCGATTCTGATACCTAACATTGTTTTAGTCATTAGCGAAGCTACGACCGATGCGTAGACCCTTAGTTGCGGCATTCCTGTTGCTACTCCTGGTGCAGCATTATGAATGGGGGATCCGCGAGGCTCTTTTTAACAATCTCCTCTAGCGCCATCATCCTCTCCTCGATTGGAGACTTCTTCTAGAGCATTTCTGTCCAGGCCCTTTTATGCGCGTTGAAAGCCTTCACGGTCTCGTTCACTTCCTCTATTGATGGTAAGTCCTCCTCATCCATCTCCCTCATGACGATAAGCCTAACCTGTTTTAGAAGTTTCCCCAGGATTTCAAGCTTTTTATCCTTTGGAGCTATCTGCGCTCCGCTGCCGTTGGTTGTGGTCGTTATTGTCGCTTTCTGCGACGCGTCGAAACCTCTGGTTTTACCCACACTCGCCATGTTGGAGCGCGGAAATGGAAATGATTTATGTAGGGTAAACAAGAATATAAAACTGGATTTCAAGATTTCAAATTGATGATAGAGCCAGTGTGGAGCGTTACGCAACTTTCTAGAAAAAACGAAGTTTTTTCTACTAATTGGAGACTTTCATGTAGGTGGTTATTATTACAGGCTAATACCTTATTTAGTTGTGACCGGAGTTTATAGGGTTCATTTATCGAGAAGTCTTGGAGTGCACGACTTGGCCGGATTAAAGAGTTGTGTAAAGGATAAATAATGCATACATCAATACGCGACGTGCGATATCGAGTAAAAAACAAGTAGTCTTCGTAGGTTGTTGTTTTACTAAAGTCCTAAGGTAAAGCTCTAAGTCCACTATGAGTACAGGACCAGTGTTCACAGCTAGGAGTACATGTAAGACACACCTAGCTCGATTTCACCGCATGAACCACTACAAAACCAGTAGTCGGATAATAATATGCGCCGCAGCAACTCCTTCTCCCAAAACTGACACAACTATACATTGCAAAGAAAGTATAACGGGTACCAATACTCCTCGCCTCGACTCCCGTCCAGTCAGGGTTATTTCCTGGCAAATTATATTCGATCTCCACTGACAGTAGGAGATGGATACACAGGAGAATACCCAAAACTTTTGGTATCCTACACAAATTGTTTGAAGCTCTCGAAGCACTTAGGTCCAAGTAGCTTATGTAGGAGGGCACTGTATAACAATGACCCTCTGATTCGACGCGTAACGTTTGCGTTCAGCCGACAGTGTAAGAAGTGAGAAAGGGTAGTTTCTTTCCAACATGCGCACTCTGTAGGAGCGTCTGGATTGTTGAAGGGACTATGGCACGCCACGAAATTACCCTGGCTCGTACAGGCTGCAGTGAGATTTCGAAATAGTAGTCTGGAAAGCCCTAGCTCTGGTAGTTTGCGACGGTGTATTAGCAGATCCAGCTCACGATACCGTGGTGAGAAAGTTTCATTCCACCAGTTATCGAGCAAAGCCTATCGTTAGCGATGCAATTTTTGATGTCAAAATGCTGTCGTGGTGGTTACTGGCTAAGATTCCACGCTGGGAAGTGTTTGTAGGCCTGGTTTTGCCGCTGTGTCTGCTTCCTCTTTTTTCTTTTCTTTTTTTGCATCAGATTTTAGTCTGCTTCCTCATTTCCCTGTATTCCCAGATGCCCTTACACACATCCTATTCGGGGGAAGACGAAGGTTGAACACCTATCAGTGATGTCCTCTACGAACCTGGGAGTGAAATATTCTCCCAGAGCCGAGATTCAGTCATGAAAATGGATGGGATGAATTTCAATTGATGGATTTTCAACTTGAAGGAGTTGCACTCGACATTTAGGTCGAAAAATCAGTCGACAGAGATTTCACAGCCGGAACAACGTCGAACAAAAAGTCATCACCACCAACATACGATTCACGAATGGGCCTAGGTCTATCTGGGGGTCGTATTCAAACGTCCGACATCTCTTAAACTCCTTTTATACTTGCGACGAAGCATTTCTCAATCGATCCTACACCTGCGACCTACCTCCATACTCGTCCGATCACCTACCTACACACGCCCTAATGAGGAAAGTCATGATGGAAACGGGACGTGTACAAAGGAGGAAGAAGAGGGAAGATACACCGAGGGGATTACACAAATCCCCAATGACGACAACAACCCAACGGTACGATATGAAGGTGCAAGGCTAGAGCAACGATGAGATTTTGGAGTCAATGAGGATGTCAAGGGCTCGGGCGCGTGGTGGCCGAGGCTGATGAGGAAATTGCGCTACGGCGTGTATACAGCGGGTTTCTGGACGGTTAGGATTGATATGATTCAACACATAGGTGAAGTCTGATGTGGTCCGGTCATTAAAGTGAGACGAGTTTTATCTGTACTTCACGGTAGTTAACCTGATCCGGCCCAACCCCACTCGTGCTTAAGCTCCAATAGGAGTGCAACGGTAGCCATGTAACCTAGCACGTTAATGAACAGAACAAAACTTAACCTCCTGCAGCGCTCAAACCGTGACACTAGCTCTTCGGACATTGCGAGAACCCCGACCGGGTATGGAGGTATCTTCCCAATTCAGTTTCACAAAAGTTTCGGCTTTTTGAAAGGCAGTTTATAAATATTCGCGGAAGGGTCACTAAATTATGGTTGGCACGTCCACAGCACTAAGCTTGGTCTTTTTTTGGTTTGTTTTTTTTTGCATCAGGTTTTAATTGCGTATGCAGCTATCTAGCTATGACACAATTTCAAAGAAAAGTACAGAAAAGATGACTCAATTTATAAGAAGAGTACTCATGCCTCAGGTTTCATTTGCAGGACTAAGCTTGGTCGTCTTAGTGACAAGAGGTCAGATTTTCTTCCCTCACCAATGTATCTTATCATATTCATGGTTCTGTAATTATATAGCGAGTAGGACTTCAAATTGTCATGAATGCGCTTTTCACATTAGTAGTAAATCGTCATCTACGTAGTGATGCACGCAGAGCCAGGGAAATGGAAACAGGTTAGTGATAAATTAGATACCATCGATCGCTACACTCACCCGTAGATCACTCCTAAAAGAGACTAGCTACGGCGCTATCTGGAAGTATGTGGGATTGGTTAATTATCATGAACATAACCTGTAACATAACATAACATAACATAATTACACAATAAGATACCATTTGCATCCCGTAATATTTTATTGCCATAATCACCCAAGTATATTCTAAGCCCCCTGAGTAGTCTTAACCATTTAATTGAAGATACCAAGTGTATACAACCATATACATCACCACCCTCCAATACAAATGAGAATTCAATTTAGTAGGATGTAAAATTTTGGTGGTATCCTAAAATTAGCTGAATATAGTCAAGAATACCACTTCAAAATACTTTCACACATCTACACAATCACTAAAAGTAGCATACTCTTTTCAACCACTATGGCAACTTTTATACTCGCCTTTGAAATGACGTTTTGTCTCTTGGAAAAACGTAGTATCGCATTGTTGTCCTCAAATAAATGAGGAAATGATGGTTTCTATTCCCCTCAATGCCTTTTGTGCCCAAAGTATTATCATCTAACTTACAATAAAGCAGGGCGCCCGAACTTACGCATTAGTATCATTACTAAATAAATTATACGAACCGTAATAAGCTACGAGCCAACAACTTCAAAATGCCTATTATAGCTCGATTCTTTCGTCTTCTACAGGCGTCACTTCATCTAGGAAAGAGAGTGCCGCAACTGCTTCCCCGTCACACGCTCTTTCCAGCGCTAGAAATGCAAAATGCCCCCCAACTACCGGGCGAGCTCTGAATGTGAATCCAGGATAGCCACCCGTACCCTCTGTATCATACAAATCTGTGAGGGGACGATCTATCTTGGTATCAACGACAGCTGACCTTCAACACGGGGAAATCTCGCTTCGATCGAGGAGACTTGTAATTGGAGAAGTAAATTCTGACTCACCTGTAGAGGTTTCATTCACCCATAGCGCGATAGATTGCACAACATCCTCACGCACTTGCCGACTACTCACTGCAACAGCAAAAAATTCCCAGTCACTCTTAGCATACAAATGCCTGCTATCCAGGGGGAGTCCATAACGCTGTCTGACCTCGCGATACCAGTCACTCTGGATTCTATAAATTTTCTCGTCCACAAACGCTGTTCGTGATGTCCTTGTTTCCACAAGAGCTGCCTGCAGTGGGCCTGGAGCATTGAGAGGTCTCGATTTCATTGGTATGTGAAAACAGAGCAATGCGTCGGTAAATAAGTTATATAGCGTGGTCCAGCTACCGTACCAAGTATAGGCGAGTTTTGCATGTGTACCATCACGGGAGATTGCGTAGTCATTCTGCCACAAGTCGAGGTAGGTCTTTGAGATATTTAAATAATATTGCGTGTCCTCATTTTCACCGACCAGTGCTGAAATATCAGCCATAGCTCGTATCCCAATTATCCCTTTGAGAGCCAGGTTAGTCTGGTTGGCAAGCCAACCAGCAAAATCATCGGTAGAAAGTTGGTTTGCTGGTACAAGAGCCTCTCGGACAAGAAATCCTGCCCACTGCTTCCAAAGTTTATAGGAACGCTCCACCCACCTTCGTGCTTGATTTTCCCCTTTTGCATGAACAGATCCACCAAAAGTATCATCCATGCCATCACGATCGACGTGAAGCGAGAATTTACCAGCGTGTGACTCAATATAATTTTCGTTCCCACTGGCGGACCAAAGACTGACCGGCTTCTTAGCATATTTCAATGAATTAACGAGCGCTAATCCCATAATTAGCATATTACCACATTCTTCTACTGGCATGTATTCATCCCGGCCATCTGGATGGCCGGTGGCATTGGGGAAACTAGACCCTAGATCATGCATGCTGTAATTATTCGGGTACTGGCCACTTAACATGTGCTCCATCAGAGGTTCCATCAACCACGCCAGCCATTTCGGATTGGTGTAGAGGAAGAATGGAAATGCCGGATATATGACATCTACTGTGTTCATATTACCATCAGAGGAGATCTCTTTGAAAAATATCAGAGGGTCTTCGGCGGTTCCTGCAAAACTGCAGGCTCCAATTACTTGTCGTGCACTCAGAGCGATAATATCTTTGTAGTCCTCCGATCCCGAAGCGAGTGCATCTTTTTCAAGTTGCGTCGAGTAATTACTAGCAAGCCCTGAGACCTTGACAAAGTCATCATAATGAAATTGGATGAGGCTAGCGGAGCTAGGATAATATGAAGCCCATAACGGTCTCATTGTGGTCAATCCTTGAGCCGACGCGAACTGAATAACCGGATCTTGTAAATGTGCAAATGTTAGAGTAAAACTGTCACCTGACATACGACTGCCTATCTTCCTGAGGGCAAAGGACCTAGAAAATGCGAAGACCGGCTCGTCTTGCATGATTGGGCGATATCTGTCGTCAACCAGATTCTGAAGGGTTCCAGTTCGTGCAAACTTTTGGCGCAAGAGAGCTGAAGTGCCAGCTTCGTAGCTGACGCCAGAAGGAGCCGAGAAATATAATGTCCCCCACTCCGAGCGGTCTGCGTCTTCTGTGAAGAGCTGCTCAGCCCATCGTCTAACCTTCCAAGTGACTAGTGAGGATGACTTATTATCACCTAAGCCGGCGGGAGATTTGCTCAGCTCCCAAACGATCGGGCTTTCTCGCTTCCCGCTAACCCATTGACCATTAACATCTACATAGATATCTATCTGGAAGCTACCAGTAGCATAAATTGTCAAATAAGAGGCGGGAATTGTTTGTCGAATAGTAGATGTGGGCGTGATAGGAGAGAGAAATGAGAGGGTGATTTGTGCATCGTACGGTGAATCATTGGGCCCAGAAATATTGTAGGTCAAATTCGTGGTCGAAGCATCAAAAGTCGCTCCTTGAAAGTCGGGATAGATAACACTAAAACTATAATTATATCAGTCAAGGCACCGGATGAATTTCTGCCGATTGCCTTCATGCCCATCCAGCCACACCATCGTGCCTTTGTCAAGGGACAAATGCCTTATTTACCTTTCACTTGTCTTGGGCAGAGAGTCTTGTGGCCTTCCGAGTAACGGAAATATCTGATTGCTACTCGGTACCGACGCCATCACACCAAGTCCCACCTCAAATACTGTCAGTATGCGTGGAGACTTTATGGTCGGCCATCTCAAACCTCTTGCCCTGTCCAGAATATGGGCCACTGCTCCCATGGCTTACCTCTCGCATTTCCAAGCCAAGTACTTAAATAAGGATTGCGGACAATGAGAGGCAAAACAGGTGGTGTGAGGGTCGATGCCTGTGTTATGAGAGGTACAGTAGCTAAAGCTACAGCTAAAGAGCAAGCAACCCAGCCCATGGTAACATGAGTTGACCTGGTGGGTAGCAAGGTGAACACCAATATAGATAGTAATGTTCTACGAAAATTAATTCAGCAGATGAAAAGAGTATTGAAATTATGTCTAGAGATGTCAGAAAAGTGTCTGCCCTTTAAGCAGACAATATTCGCCGGGAATCGGGCTTTGCCGCGGCAGCTTATTGAAGCTTGGACCCCAGATCCCGGACCAGTAGCTGCCCATTGCGCGCGCTATGGCTCATTGCGGCCCTCTAAGCCTTCGTAGGCCGCCTTTGCGTTGTTCCCGCGTTCAGGGCAATGCGCCAACTTCGATGTACGTCACCGGTGCCCCCATAACCCAAATTTCCCCGTTGGTCGCCGCAGTCAAGCCAAGTGGTATTGTGTCTAATGGTGATTGAGCCGCATTGAAGCTATTACAATTGCTACTAGAAGCAACTTTTTTATCGGGTTTACTCATTCTAGTCTCAAATTAAAAGCCTGATAGTCAAGTGTCCGCGCGGACCTCAGTCATAGCGATGAGCTAGGCAGGTTAGAGGAGATTGAGGACCCCTAGGCTTCATCTCGCACAGCTACTCTACAATATATATTTGTTTGTTGAAGGAATAAATGCAAATTTGACAATTCTTAAGAGACATTCATAAGAAGTGGTGATGTTCTTTAAAGCAGGCGTTCTGGCGCATGGGGATTAGTAACCATCCAAAATAAAAAGGGGATTTGATGTCAACATCACTGCTAATGCCATCGTAAAGCAAAACTAGACTCCATCATGAGCCGACGAAATTTGTTTTCACCTGTCAAGCAGCTTCCCATGGCTCATTTGAGTGTATTTTTATTGAATTTAATGACACGCCCGGGCATTGCTCGTAAAATACATCTCGTGGGACACAGCTAAGCACTGTAGAAACCACAATCTACTGAGCCAAAGAGAACAAAGGATTAATGCCTGTCAACGGTATCCTCTGCGACTCTCGGCCTGAAATATTCCTTGATAGCTGAGATTCAATCTCTAGAGAGTGTCGATTTGAGAGTTTTCGTTTGGATAGTTATCGGGAGGAATAGCGTAGACAAGTGTTTGTTCGATGTGACGGTTCGACCGTTGTTAAGGCTTAGGAGGAAACCTAAGCGACTAGTTAGGAATAATTACGATAAGACTGAAAAAGGAAGGATGGGCAAATATAGATGAAATGACACTACTAGCCAAGAGGTCGAAGCAACATCATAGCGTAATGGCACTAAATAATACTTGGCCCGGTAGGAAGTATTAGACTTAGGGTAAAGTTATCAGTCAGCAGATTCACGAAGCGGATAAAACTTTGTAAGTATCTGTTAGTAGCAGCTAGAGATTTCTTTTCTCTTCATATAGTTTAATAAATCGATTTATTCATCACCAACTCGGCTGCCGTCACAGCCGAAAATCCTATCTGGAGAGACTGTACCACCGGATAACCCAAGTCAATTATGCGTCTACGGCCCAAATAGGAGCCAAAGATAGATTCAAACTTTACTAATACTCGTATTACAACACAATGTCCTTTTTCATCATCTTCAAGTTTCCCGAAAGATCACGAGTTAAACTCGTCCTACCATCTACCGAAGCATTCCAAAATCCAAAGGATATAATCAGAATCAGAGTCAAATATAAGAGCAACTACAGCCACCCACGACTACTACAGACTGGGAAGGCACGCTCTAAAATATCATGATTGGTATACGATGTAGGAATGTACACTTACGCTGGAATAGCTAAGATTCATGAAGAGATATCCTCATTGATATGCAGAAGTGAGGTTACTATGATGATTATGTTATAGATTGGAAGGAGCTCTTCTCTTAACCCCAAGGTACTTCACTTATAGACCCATCAAATAACCAATATGCAGCGCACCGAAATGTGCACCCGACTGTGCAAATATGCCATCTATCCTGCATTATCAACCCATCTCTTAGACTGCACACAGTACTACTGCTAATGCCGTTTAGAGACTGGATCTACCTCATGCGCCAAATTAACATAATAACAACACATGCACCAGCTACTAGATCTACCATACTACAGAGCTGAGCATAACGGTAAGTACTGGCCTTGAGTGCGTATGTACCACGGCCAAGGGCACCACAGATCTGATCTACGACGAATCGACATGACAAATTATATGCGAAACTTCGGTGGTGTTTCGATGGTAACTTAAGTTGAGAATGACAAAGGCCTGACCATCTTTATGTCATCTTTGAGCTCTTCTTTTTATGTTTGGCCTCAACAATTAGGGGCATGGCAATGTTGTGGTGATACGGGAGGGATTGACAGTTCTTGAAGTTTCTGAGATTGCGAGCTCGAAAAATTGAATAAGATGACGCCATAATCGAGTAATGAAAGTGATGCATAAAATATCAGGTCTCTATAAGCGATATAGTTGAGTCTTCAATGGAATAAATGACCGCTGAATTAGAAATGTGATGCAATTTACGACGTGAGTTGGATCATGCTTAAGCGTCAGTCAACAGAAGGCATGTATCCGTACAACCTGAATCAGGTGTCCGATGGCTTATACGCTACACCCGCTCTTAATATGTTGTGATTGATGACGTAGCTACCCCTGCATCTGGTTAGTGTGGATCATAGCGCATAGAATCATATTGTTAAAACAGGACAGACTAGAGTCAGATAGAGTACAGTGCCTCTAGGTTCCAAAAGGTAAAACTTCAAACTGGGTTGTTGAGGGGATTAGCCCTGTAGGCGCAGTTGGGCTAGCTCGTAATAGGTTAGACAGTCTCTCCTCCTTACCCCGTTCGCCATGAAGTATGGTCCAATCGTCTTCTTCTAACAATTGGTTAGATAAACACACTTTCAACGACACTTTTGACTGCCTAACTTACCCAGCCCTTGAAACTTTTCACCACTATCAATTCATCCTCACTTCTAGCAAACAATGTCTCTCCAAAAGTCCGCTTCAGAAACTAAAGCCCGCAAGCATCTAACTCGCGATCAATGTATTGAAATAAGAGCATTAAGAAGACTTGGCTTGACATTACAACATATATACGACGAACTTGGCATTACTATAAGGCAAGTGCAACTTGCTTGTGCTCGAGAGACTGAGGATCCTCTGTCTCGCAAAGGACCCTTACCAAAATTAAGCGCGGAACAAGTCGATGAGCTCGAGGCTTTTGTCCGGAAATCTCCTGAAAATCGACAGATGTGCTATTTGAAACTAGCCATGGGGCCCTTCAGCCACTGGGATGCAGTGAACGTTTAATTTATAACGCACTGAAAAAAAGAGCTTACAGCAGATGCATTGCTCGGAAGAAGCCTCCGTTAAGCGCGGTGAACAATCAGAAAAGATTGGAGTTCGCCCAAATACATTTAGATTGGAGCGATGAACAATGGAGTCGCATATTATGGACTGATGAAACATGGGTATCAGGTGATTCTCATATGAAACCTCGTGTCACAAGAAAAATACATTAAGATTCTATCAAAATCTTGTACTAACAGCAGAGTTTGGCCTGATGATGAGTTTGATGAGAATTGTATTGTGGCTCGCCATACTCATAGGAACAGCTGGATGTTTTGGGGATCATTTTATGGATCACATAAAGGCCCATTCCTAGTCTGGGAGAAGGATTGGGGATCAATGAGGTCCTCATCCTTTTGTGAAAAGATTTTGAATCAATTTCAAATGGAAAATCCAGGAATTCTATACATGCACAACAACGCACCATGTCATAAAGCACACTCAACAACTAAGGCGCTACGTGAGGTTGGAATAACACCTATTAGATGGCCACTTTAATCTCCGGACCTGAACCCAATTGAGTCACTATGGAACATCTTAAAAAACCACATTCCGGTAAATAGTCCAGAGATAAATGGTGTCAGGCTTGTATGCTCTACCACGTTGGAAACATTGTTGCAGGCCGCGTGGGACTCTATACCTTCAGAGGAGCTAATGTCACTAATTGGCAGCATGCACGAAAGATGTGTAGCATTGATAAAGGCAAATGGAGGGTACACAAAGTATGAGGATGGAGAAGACACACAAAACATGTATTACGCTTTCATTTTAGTTGCGAGCCATACTGAGAGCTTCGATGTAGACTTTTGTAATATAGAGCAATAATTTTTGAAATAGATGTGCATTTTTAGAGAATATCAACCGACTTTTATCAATTTTGAATTTCAGCTGAGGACTATTGTAATTTTGCCACTGAGTTCAAAACCATCCCCATAATTTAGACTCACGGAATGTCATTGGATAGTACCCCTTGCTTGCATAACTAGTTGAGCTACTAGACATGGGCCTGCATGAAGATTATACCAATTAAGGCAATTTGTACAGGGATCTAACCCCAGTCATTTTGACAATTTTACCTTTGCCACCCATAAGAGACTGTAGAATAGGATGGATGGGATGACTCAGAGTAGAATGAAACTGAGCGACTGTCTGTAAGGAAAGCCACAGAATGTAGTTAGATTAGATTAGATTAGATTTATATTATAGTACTAACTGAGTCAATGACTATAGAGGACTCCTAGAATCTATATATAAGATACTAGCTACATTATTTCCCTTCCAATTTTACAATTTTTAACTATTTTCTCATGGACAGTGAGGGTCAAGCCCCATGATATAGTGAGGGGGAAATTTTTTCCCGCCTTTTAATGATATATATATATATATATATATATATATTCTTTTTTTAATCTTTTAGATTCTGAATTTAAAATTCCAATACAATTTATCTTTAAAATCTTTGGTCCAGTTATTATTTGTTTTAATTTAATTCTAAATTTTCATCCCTTCTCTCTAGATGCCATGCCCTGGTTGAGATTCTAGTGCTGTCAATGTATTGAATTGTATTTTCTATGCCAATCTTGGTATGAAGGAGCAACTTCAATGTGAGATTATTTCCATTCATTTTCTCCTTGAGTTCTTTCCTCTTATGCTTATAATTGCTACAGCTGAGTAGAAGATGTTCTGGTTTTTCTCGTTTCCCACACCTACACTTGTCATTGGTGCTATGTCCTTGTTTGTTAAGGTATGCTTTGTTGTATCCATGGCCTATCTTTAGTTGAAAGAAAGCACTAGATACAGCCCTTTTTGCTTCAGATGGTATCAGAATTTTACTATTCAATTTCCACGGGTATTTTTTCTTGTAGGATGATGATATTGGATATAATTTTCTATCCTTGCTATAGAGAAGTTCAAGCCATTGGTTTCTGATATTGCTTTTCATCTGAGCTCCAATCTTGGCAAAGCTCATTTCGTCTTTTTCAGGAGGCAATCTTGATCCTTCCTTTGCTAGTTTGTCTGCTATTTCATTTCCTATGATACCTGAATGTCCAGGAATCCAGTGTAATGAAACTGAACCATTTTTATCTGAAATTAGGTTTGCTGCACTCAAAGCTCTTATCTGGCAGGACTGTCCAGGATAGTCTGAAAGAGATGCCAGCCTTTGAAGTGCTGCCTGGTTATCAGAAAATATTTCGAAATGATGTCCTGGATTACGCCTTGCACTAGCAAATTCCATTGCCTGTATGATTGCTTCTAATTCTCCATTGTAGACTAAACTTTTGTCCCCAATATTTGACATTGATTGGTATGTGAGCTGACCAGTGCTATTGGTGGCTGCCATTCCAATTCCAATTCCAGTACTTGTGCTATGAGATGAGGCATCGGCATAGATATGTGTTGTATTTGCCCAGTTAACACTAGTGCATCTAATCTGGTGATATCCTGCCAATTGTTCATTGGTTCCATTTTCAATGTGAACTGTGTCACAGAATGTAGTATGTGTACACAAAAGCAATGATTCTCTAGATGGAATTGGATAGAATTAAATTAAAGTCCCTGCTAGTGATACTCTGAACTTGAATGGGAGCAAGCAAGTCTACAACCCCACTATAAACTACGTCTACCTACAACTCTCAGTGTACGTACATATGTTTACCCGTAACTATTCCACCTCCCATGACCTTGCATTTGTAACATAATAAAGTAACTGGCAATATAACACAGATCTCGACCCACACCAGTAATCGAGATCTGTACAAGCGTAGGAACATGTTATTTCTAACTTATTTTCAAATGAGGAACTGTATTAGAATGAGACGTAACTGCTTAGTCATAAAAAATTAAGGGAACTCATTATCGCCTACACACTAAAACGTACCGCTAGTGTGTTTTTACATTGTACTAATTGAGTTATAGACAATCTATGACATTGGGCTCCTCTCAGACCCATCCCACACTTTGCACAGTGCTCCTTGCCTTTTTTGTCACTCGAAAGATCATTGATATATACCCCTTGATGAATAGCCATTCAGCTCAGCATTTACCCGTGGAATTCGGCCAACTTTTCCACGGAACCTTCTGCCCAAAACCAAAAAAATGGTAGCAATGGAAACTGCGTGCGCGGGAACAAGTCGCAAAATAACCGGCAGCCCCAGTCAGGCGAGGCCTAGACACCGAGACCACACGAGGTGCGCATATTCATCTACATCTCCCTTCTTTGTAACAGTCGAGGTCGACTTGATCCAATCTGCCATCTCCGTATCGGGTGCTGGGTACGCTCCGGAAACTCATCGGATGGCTTTTCCTCCATGATCGAGGGTTGGTGATGAGGAGGATTTTGACCCGACCATCTGATATGATCGTGGTTAGCTTCATGATAATGGTGATAGGGGAATGTGTTGAGAGATGAAGACGATACAGACGGCGAAAGCGATTGGGAATCCTCGTCGAAGTGAGGACTCTGTTACTCAATCTCGGCTCTGCAGACTCTACAGTGAGAACTAGAGGTTCGTAGGGGACACCACTGACGGGTGTTGAGAATAGCCCCGACTCAGTAGGTTTAGAGACTTTTGGCTACAGCTGCACACCCGCAAATGGCCATCGTTTCGTTGGCTGAATAGGGGAAACAATGACGGGATAACGTCTCCTTAGTGTTTACTCAAATGAAGACTAGTAGGGGTATTACTGCTGGAAAGAAGTCGTGGAGGAGGCGTGGGAGAGTGTACACTTCCTGAAGTACAGATGTTCCTTGATAGTATGCCGTAAAGACCAACATGTGCTTAAATGTTTATAGACTCAACAGAACTGTAATCACATACTGTGAGCGGATGCATACTTAATTATAGCCAGCTCTAGTTAGGCGGTCATGTAATATATGACCGGGAATCATGCAGGTATCGAAGGTGATCCGTACTTACATATATCTAAGAAGGGCGGTCCTTCGGATTGAACTTAGAATGAGAACCTTAGTGATGTAGCTGTCATACGAAATTGAGCCAATGAGGTTTGCACATACTCAGCTTTTGATGTGTAGAGTTCATCTGAATAGGGCATTTAAGATAGGATCTTACAGTATGATGTATTCCTCGCAGTTTCAAAAAATGTTTATGTCATTCTCGGTTGCATTTTTTGTTTAGACTTCGTATAATTTGAGGGTGAATGAGCCCATTCCCTACCTGATACGTGAACTCAGACACCAGATTTCGGGTTATGAAATATATCTATGTACAGTAGCTGTGATTTCTTTTAACTAAGAGTTCACCTTTGAGGAATTGGCACTAACATTGGAGCTTCCCACCGTTTATTTACATTACTTATCAATTATTAATGGGGAATTTCCGATATGAGATCATTCAACCATCTAAAAACGTGGCGGCATATTGCACATAGCGATGTTACGCCGTAAATTTCGACCCAGCACCTACGATAAAGTTTAAGCATAGAAATAAATTAGATTTTAATACTTTGAAAAATCTTTTGGTCATTTGCCGAACAGTATAATTTTTACACGTCTTTTTACGAAGCCTGTACGCATTTCGCCTAGAACAGATATGATTCGAAGTGGCTGATATCACAGATTTGTGTCGCCCTAACCTTGATCAAAAGCTATCTTAGGGAGTAATGATCATTACCGAAGCCACATGTCGATCTGATAGCGATTTAATTGCCGGGTGGTGGTGGAGGTGGTGGTTGATCGCTTGGAGGTGGCGGTGGAGGAGCTGACCCTGGAGGTGGAGGAGGGGGAGGGCTTCCGGCGAATTGTTGCAAAAGTGCTCCAAGTCCCGGTCCACTTAAGCCGGGGGGTGCATTGAGACCAGGCGGAGCTCCCATGGCTTGGTGACCCGAGTATCCGCCGGAGTATCCGGGTGCGTTATAGCCAGGATACACCCCAGCAGCGCCTGGTTGGGAATATCCAGCTGAAGGCTGGGCCCAAGGAGCAACATTTCCAGTTGAGGTAGCAGTTGAAGGATATCCAGCTTGGCCATTGTAGTATCCTTCTCCATCCTGGGTATCCCCTCGGGCACGATCTCTTCCCCACGGCACGGATCCACCGCCTGATGCAGGATCTCTAGCTTCAAATCCCCTATCGTCACGTTTTTGCCAAGGTGCAGCAGCTCCGGTTGGGCCGCGTTGCCATGGCTTTATATCATCATTAGGAGGCTGCTCAAATCCACCTGATCCGGCTTCGATACGCCTTGGGGCTTCTCCACCCGTCGGACCACCAGATAATTCTTGCATAAGTTGCTGTGAAGTATTATTATTTGTATGACCCGAAGTTTACCGTTACTCACTTCGTATTCTCGATCTACTGCGTCGCCTGCACCGATTTGTCCCGCTACAGGAGGTGCCCCCGCGGTGTCTCCAGGAGTTTGACGCCAGTCTGCTCCACGTTGCCTAAAAGTGTTAGTTGTTTTCCAGTTATTGTAGCATTATCTTACCGGTCATTACAGTCTCGCGCCATGTGACCGGCATTGCCACAAATACGACATATTATGTTTGCAGTAAAATTGCGTTGCTCAGGGCAATCATATTTCCGGTGACCGATTTGCCCACAATTTTGACAAGCTTGATTTTCATCGTCTCTCAGAGTGCCGTTGAGAGCTGCAAGCTCGCGAAGTTGGTTTCTTTTGAGCTCATTTTGTCCTTCGGGTATTGAGGCAGCCTATGATGTTTAGAGGTTGGGTTACAAATCAGATGAAGATACCTACAGTTTCAATGATCGTGTGAATAAGTTTCTTTGCTTTGTTGACTTTTTCCTCTGTCTCTGCCATAATTAGACAATGTAAGTCTTCCTCTTGATTGCTTGTATGGGCTGCATCAGATCGACCTTTTCCTTCTTTGACGGACCCCTTTCCGCGAATAGCAATTTTGGCGCCAGACTCGGTTTCCATTTTCTTCAAGGTATTTCCACGTGGACCGATGAGTAACCCGACTTAAGCGGTGAGCTAAGTGTTAGTAGGTGGTCAAAAGCAGGTAGCAACATGCAATGGGCAATGATCTAGTGACAAAAAGGCACCGCATCTCTGACAGATATCCATAATGTCACACAGCAAGGAAATGGGAGTTATAGGCGAGGGTTAGAGAGGTTAGAGGGTTAGCAATCATACTGAAGTTGATTTCTGGATAGTCATTGACTGGCACGTAAACTTTCTCCTGTGTCTTAGTAGGACGGCGATAGTCCTGAGGAGGATGGTAGTTGGGAATAACTTTCATAGCTTTCTCAATAAGCTTATGCCGCTCATCCTCAAGTCGCTTTCGATACCGAAATTCTCTTGTATTAACACGGCGACCAAAATTATCGTACTGTGGTGGAGGAGACGGCGATCTAAAATATTATCTGTTATGTTTATTTGGCATAACTGTAGAGGTCCTTACCTATCACCATCTGCCGGCACGACATCATCGATCCTCAACTTTTGACTGATCTCTTCGATTCTGAGATGAAGAGTATATGCCTCAAGTTGTTCGCTTGTCATGTTAGCCATAATAGCGGTTGGTAATCCCATTAGACCGGCTGCTTTATTCTCAGTGGCATCAGCCCATCGGTTCCTCTTCTTCCGACGTCTTCCGTCATTTCCAGGAGGTTCTTCTGCTTTTAAAAGTTAGGTCTATAAGTATTAAAATACATTAAGTATACATACATCTGACAGGGCTACGACCTCGTTTGTAGACTTCGTCATTCTTGACAGAAGTACTTGGGCGAGACTGGCTACTGGTATCGTCGCGTCTAGAAGTTTGTTCATCACCACCAAATCTGCGTTTATTTCCCAGGGGTATGTTGTTGGAACCAGTACTTCCTTGAGCTCTCCAGGACATGATGGTGATTAATACTTTGTTGATTTGGAGATGTTAGTCACCAGACGGAATCGTGGCAGAAAATCCTTGGGCCTTAGTGCCAATGAATTCTCGCTTACTTAACTCGCTTACATAGCAAGACATTTTTGCATCATACTTTCGATTTGATACCCTTCGAGCTAGCTACGACATAATATCAGAGAAAAAGTAAAGAATAGAAGATGACGAAATCTAGATACCTGTCAGCGGTGGCCTCTACAAACCCGGGAGACAAATATCCTCCCTGAGCCAAGATTTAGACACGAACAAGGATAGGATAAACTATATTTAATGGATTGTCGACTTGAAGGAGTTGTACTGGATATTTTGGTTGAAAAATCAGTCGACAGAGATAACACTATCGCAAAAAGTTGAACAAAGACTCATCACCACCAACATACCATTCAAAAATGGGCCTGCTTGTGCCTGCAGGTCGTATTTAAACAACCGATATGTCTCAAACTCATGTGTTTGCGACCAAGCATCTCTCAGTCGATCCTACACCTGCGATTCACCTTCATACACATCACACTACTTACCTATACACGCTCTAATGAAGAGACTCGTGATGGAGACGGGGCATGTACAAAGGAGGAAGAAAAGGGAAAATACACCGAGGGGGTCTCACAAATCCCCAATGACGACAACAACCCAATGGTACGATATGGAGGTGCAAGGCAAGGGCAATGACGAGATATGGGACGACAAACATAATTAAGAGTCAATAAGGATATTACGGACTCGGGCGCGTGGTGCCCGAGGTTCAGGAGAGATTTGCACAACGGTATATACATAGCAGGTTCCTGGACGGTCGGGATTGGTATGATTCAACACATATGTGAAGTCTGAGGTGGTCTAGTCAATTAGGTGAGATGAGGCTCATTGTACTTTTATGGTAGGTATCCCAATCTAGCCTAGCAAGACCCGAGCTTAATCCCTCACAGGAGTGCGGAGGGCGCCAATTGCCTAGCACGTTTATAAACATACATATATATAAAGTGCAGAATAGAAGACTCAATTTAAAGGTAGAGCAATCATGCCTCCATTGTCTACTTGTTAGTAGCGTAAATACATATCAAGTCGATTATTTGCAATGTCGAGTAAAATGACATATTTCAGTCATTCAACCAAGCGCATGTTATTATTTGTGCGTTCTTTCCCTGCTTGACAGAAGTGCAGTCTCAAGCTTGCAATCAGTACTACCTCACACGTTCCTCACAGATCGATCAATCTTTAATAAACGTACAAGGCCTACACGACACATCCAAATATCCATGAGCTCGAGGTTGAGATCAAGACAACATGCTCTCCGGCAGACGAAAAAGCCTGCTGCGGTCGCATTACCAGCAATAATAACTAAGCACGCCACCTAACGCGCGAGATTTAAGTTGTCACCTCCAACTATATAGGAATAATCCATTCGTGCAGCAGCTGATGAGAAACGTCAATCTCCAGCTGAATCGATTCTTACTGACTCAGAAGATGATCTCATAGATTCAGGGCTAGTAAGTGATCCGCCTATCCCACTGCCATCGTTCGAGCCAATAATGAAGACTCTAAAGCCGCAAGCCTCTACAGTTTCTGTACCCTGCCGCCAAAAATAACCTAAAAGTACACCAGAATTAGATATCTAACCCACAATCCAATATCAAGTAGGCTACGTTGTTGATACACATGTGACTACAAATTCTGTACTTAGTTTCACATTGGTAGTTACTAGAATTAATGCGCTCTACAACCTCAATGACTGAGGGGTTATTATCTCAATAAATATCACTATTAGCATGGCAAAGCGCCGGAGTGTAGTACCTCCACAATTTCCCTCCAGAAATTTCAGCTGAATTAAAAGCCATAGTAACCTGTAGCCCCGCCCGTGCCATCGTCCGCCTGCTAATTTTCGAGCAGTCAACTGCTGCTCCATAACCTAAAGAAAATGCGAAATCTAACATCCTGCCAGCATTAAAATCGCCCCTATCACAAGCTGATGTGGCGAAAAAAGGCCCGCATGTCCTGGTCCATCCACCCAAAAGTGCAAAAAAAACTTCAGCATCGGCTGTAAAACCCAAAACCGACTCATTTATCATGGTGAGCCTTGCGCTTAATTACCCCTTGCGACACGAAGATTCCTTCCTTGTCCGTATAAAGTTGAGAAGCCTTCTCGACCGCCCAGAGTTAATTAAGGACATTCGTTCTGTCTTCCCAGGCATTACTTTAGTGGCTCCCTCTCCCTACCAAGCTCCGGATCTTTTTAGGCAGTTCTAGCTCTGCAGCCCTAACCGGGACTGTGCCGAATGTGTAACGGCTGTTAGGCCTAAGGATTCCTGTAACCTATGCTGGCTAGCGTAGGCAATGAAAGCAAAGGAATCTTCGGGAAGGATTTCGGAATACAAGGAGCTTAGAAGATTCTCAATGAACCTTCTGGAAGCACACTGAAGGTTCATGAGGACGGCAGGTGTATCTGTGATGACCTATCACCAAAACAACAAGAACAAAGTAAGTTGGCCGTAATACAGTCTATTTTTTAATTATCTAGGAAATGGTATCTATCTAAGCTGTAGGTGTCGAAGGCTAAGAATAACTAGCGAAGAAGTTGCACAGGGAAATGTCTCTGGTCAAAAATAGGGACTGTCCATACGTACGTGGGTTGTTTGTTTCGGTCAGTGCTTGCATTCTGTATTTAGAACCGGAGGTTATTCTATTCCTAGCGCATGTCTATATTTAGTGATCAAAAGATCAAGTCAATCATGATCAGTGTATATAATCCTAGAATCCCTGGAATAAAAGGAATCAAGTTGTTTTTACCGAGTTATCTTTTACTTCAATTGCATACACTTCGCCTGTCACGGGTCAGGCTCCCGGTTATTGAAGGGTGGTGATGTGTATGGTCGTATACACTTGGTATCTTCAATTGAATGGTTGTGACTACTCAGGGAGCTTAGAATATACTTGGATGATTATGGTAATAAATATTATGGGATGCGAATGGTATCTTATTGTGATATGTTACGTTACAGGTTATTGAATTTGATTTCTTTTAGCCCGATTTGGCGCCTTAAGGCCTTTTTTTTTAAAAATTCATAGTGTATTCAGCTATCCAGCTATGACACATTTATATATATATATATATATATATAGTTCGGAGGGCAAGACTGAACACCTGTCAGTGGTGCTCTCTTCGAATCTGGGAGTGAAATATTCTCGCAGAGCCAAGTTCAGTCAAATTTCGCAATATCAAAGAAGTTGGCCCACGAGGCAAAAATCCAAATTACTCATCCACTTCGTTATTTCGCTCCCAACGAGTTTGACCCCTATCTTCGTCTCATCGAGTCTACAAGTACGACCAAGTACATCCTCATTCCAATGACCACACCACTCTTCGACCTTCTCTGGCCTCAGTTGACCACCAAATACACGCCCACGCCGATATTTATACCCGCCGGAGGATGCAAGGCGTGGCGCACAAATATCTGGGAGACAGTTCTTTGGGATGGATGTGAGAGGGACCTGGACAAGTTGACAAGATGATGCGAAGGACGGATATAACCTCGAAGGGCATGAGATTCCGAATTTTGGCAAGGAGTTTTTCGAATTGGGCTTTGTGCGCGCCAAGACTTCGCTTGTGAGAGTGCAGTTGACACTATAAAAACAAGCAAACGATGGAAGGTGTTGTGGCCCGCCCCCTGGTGGTGTTCTCCGGTATAGTTTGAGTAGCCTGGGCACCTACTCCACATGGAAAGGAGACGCTTCAAACCACATTTCGTGTGGAGAAGAGCCGATGGATGATGGAAGCACGTGTGGATAACTCAGGGTTTTTGAGACGTTCCCATGGGTGAGTATTCACGGATGAGGGTTGACTTGGGGTGAAGAAAAAGCCACCATAACTTCGCAGTGGTACTTGCAAATGAAATCTGAGGCATGAGTGCTCTTCATTAACGATGAATCATCTATTCTGTACTTTTCTTTGATATTGTGTCATAGCTAGATAGCTGCATACGCAATTAAAATCTGATGCAAAAAAAAAATATATATATATATATAGTTCATTTTTCCTGATTTGGTGCCTTGAGGCCCATGCAGGTTTTTATCGGAAGGTACGTACTTAAATAGAATGACTCAATTTGACGTTTAGAACACTCACACTCAGATTTCATTTGCAGATACCACTCGAGGTTAACCCTTACGGTGCATAACCTCTCCCGTGCATACCCACCACAGGGAAAAGTGTGAAAACCCTGTTGCTATCCGAGTGTGCTTTCATCATCCCACAAGTACAACATCACCGCGAGAGAGTATGGTGTGTGGGTCTTCCTGGATTCGAACCAGCTTTCTCCTGTCTCGGATGGGGTAGGTGTTCAAGCTACCCAGTATCTACTTGGGAGAACGGCCCGGATGGTGTTCCACTGCAACATCCAACCCCTGACACGTTTATAATCTGTAGTTCTAGCCTTCCCCTCCTTGTAAATCACTACCGCTTCATTCCAAATTCATCATTTCCCAATTATTTGTCCTAATTTAACTCCCTTTATGTGCTGCCTGTGATGGGCGATCAACAAAACAATATAGTAAAGGAATGGTGGCCGATTTCTGTCTATTTTCTACATACATCTCGGAACTGTCCACCGAGGGGAGGCTACTTAAGGTGTCCCAACTCCCAATGCGCTAACCTCACTATCTATTCTACTACACCATATCCTTGATATTCCGAGTGGGCTCGTCATAGCGAAACTGGGTCGTATCGGCCCATGATTCCATATGAGACTTGCTGCAACAATATCTTGTTTCTATATTTGTTGCAACCCTGTATTTGTATGGCCTAGTTGGACATCTCTTTAGATAGCAAGGCTAATGACGTAATAATGATAAGTGTCCGTGCGACAGTCACTAGGAGATAGGCGCAGCCTGTAACACTGCCATGCACTTGGATGTAATCAAATATTTTAATAAGCGTCTTTTGTCTCAGTAGGGACTTAATAGGGTTACTC